CCCCCCCCCCCCCCCCCCCCCCCCCCCCCCCCCCCCCCCCCCCCCCCCCCCCCCCCCCCCCCCCCCCCCCCCCCCAAACCAGGACAGGCGTCACCCAGCCCGCGCCGTTGTTCTTTGAGTTCTCGAGCGTGGTGACTGCTGCATACAATTCGCTTGCGTCTCCCGACACATCGTCCTGGAAGTCCAGCCAGGTCTTCTTCATCGCAGAAACCTCATCCAGCAGGATCTGCACTTGGTCAACTTCCTCATCTCGTAGTGATCCCACTTCCTGCCACTTCTGGCTGACCAAGGTCAGATCCTGATTCGGCAGCGGCTTCCTCAGCTCCATGAAGAGTTGGCGGTAGACCGAGTTCATTGTGTCGTAGTACTCGCCCTTGGGATTCACCTTGTGTAGATCGACAAAAGCGGCAATGGCGTCTGGAGTGGCGTTAATGGAGTCGAAGTGATCCGCGTTGAAAGTTTCGCAGTGCTCAGCCATCTACGACACGATCATTGTTAGTTATACAGGACATTCTTTAGTAGCCAAAGTCTAACTCGTTGGCTTGGGTAATTGCCTTTTTGTATCTCGTGATCAGAGTATCGTGAACAAACGCGCTATCCGCAAAGCCATCGACGCCGAGCTCTTGGATAAGGTCGTCCGTGGAACGAGGGAGATCAATGCACTTGTCGAGGTACTTGGGAACAGAGATAACAATAGCCGCCGAGAGATGGAAGGCTCCGGCAAACAAGGCCAAGGCGTGAAGGGGAAAACGCATTGTGATTGTGTTTATACGATGGCTTTAAGACTGATGCGATTCGACAAAAATCCTCAACTAGTATAGAAGAAGATGTGATGACGGCTCGAGTGTCCAAAGTGTGATGAAGAAAGGCAGAAGGCAGATGAATTCAAAAACAAGAAGGGGGAGAACGAGAAGGGTTCCAATAGATGATTGTCAAGGAAACTGGCAATGAGGGAAAGCTACAGCCAGACGGGGGTGTTTAGTCCAAACCTCCAACGCGGCCACAGACACATGGATGTTCTTCGATGAGCCCGAGACGACATGTCATTTCTGCCAGGAAAGGCACTGTAAGAGGCAACTCGCGTCGAATCTGACAGGCGTTTTGGCCCATTCGAGTCAAAAGCGGGGACGTCAGGTCAGCGCGACATCGTCCCAAGACTCCCAACGCTAGCCTCTCAGACGACGCTCATGACCGCGTGCATGTAATATTTGTCGGCAAATAATGGTCAGCCGAGGCAAGAGTAGCTCACCATGGTGATTCCGACTGACCAGCACCAGACCTCATGAAAGCATGGGCACGTTGCAATCTTTGGCTGTGGAGCTCCGCCGTTGCGGTGAAATGACACCCATGTTATCTTACAGTCTTACTCATCACAGCCCCTGCTTAGGTTACATGTGGCGTAGCTCGAGCCATCTTATGTGCACCTATTATGGCCTTCATGGGAAGCTGAATGGTCAGACGTGGAATGATAAGAAAGCATACTATCAGTAGAAGCGAGACCGTCGATAGCAGAGTCGAGGTAAATTTGCAAGTGCTACATGCAACTTATTTTCGGTCGATATTATATGCAGACCCAATGCTCGTTTTACACTTCTTCAACTCTTATTCTTTTTTTTTCTTTTCTACAGCCCCTAAAAATTCAGTACTGCCGTCATTCTTAACATCTTCCATCATGATCCTGCCAGTGGCAGCTATTTCATTCCTTTCGCTTTTGCGTGGGGCCCTCGCTGTTCCTTCGAATGTCGAGAGATCAACTCCGACAACAGTGGCGGAGTGGAAGGCATATGAGGATGACAGTACACTGCAGCGTCTTGATCCGAGCTTCACGTCACAGACCAAAGTATCGAATTCCCAGGTGAGAACCCAAATATCGCGGCCGCTGCAGTGGCTCATGGGTATGGTAATAAGATAAGTGGCTGATATCGCAACTCCCCCATGGTACAGTACATGGTTCGAGATAGAGTGCTCGATCTCGAGTCTACTCTCCAGGCTGCCAATGATTCTGCAACACGGTATCTGACCATGTACTCGGACGTCCTGATGGTCGAGCATGATGCGGACATCCATGTCCCGCCACTGGCTCAGATCGTCACGCGTGTCCTCGCCGCCGAGGGAAACATCACGCTCACTGTTTCTCGAACTGAGGGAGATCAGGTCAGGTCTCGCGGTGTCCTCTATCTCATTGCTCCGACGGTGCAGGGTCGCCTATTCCTCGACCTTCTCGACACACCTTGGGCCGGCAATCCTGTTGAGATCGATATTGGGAAGCCCGAAGAGAATGACCTCGTCGGCATTTCCATATCCTTCTTCGGCCCCCTGTCTGCTCCCCAATTCGTCTGGCTGACGGCGGATAACATTGACAAGCTAATCATGGAATCGGACGACCTGACCAGCTCGCTGAGCGCACAGCTCCTCGCCGCCACCTCTCTCTTCTGGACATGGCCTCGGATGAGCCTGGATATTGCAGCCCACGTCGGCATGATGGCTTCTAGGTCGATGTCCGGGAAGCTTCTCTACCTGCAGGCGCAGTCTCTCGCAGACTGGCTAAGTGGCAAGCTTGCCGCCGGACCGAAGACCAATCCCGCCCCGAACCTGGATGTCGAAACGTATGAAAACGCCGTGGGCGATGCGCTGGACGTTGCTCAGGCATTTGAGAACCGGTACAATGACCTGACCGACGCTTCCAAGGCTCAAGAGGAAAGACTCGAGGCCTGGGGCGCCATGGTTGCCCAAGCGACCGATCGACTGAACGTACAGCGGACACTGGCCCAGGTAGCCGAGAGCGACTACGGAGCTGCCGAGGCGACACTGGGTGGCATCTTGGCCAACTTCCAGGCCCAGACGGTCTTCCTGGCGGCTGCCGGCGCTAACTTCTCGGACGGCGTGGACAAGTACATTGAAGAGCAGGAACGCCAGCGAATCTTTGATCTTGCCACGAGCCTTATAAGTAGGTCGAACCCGCCCGTTGAGCCCATGCTTCCTGTTCCGAATACACCCTGGCAAAACTTGTTTTCTCCAACTGACTGGTTCGACTCTAGCCGTTGGCCTGTCTTGTATCAGCTTTGCCGCATCCTCGGGCTTCTCGGCCGTGGTAGGGTCCTGGAACTTTGTCTTTACAAATTCCGTCTCGGCGGCGGAGGTGGCAATGGGCCTCTCCGCTTCGGGGCAGGCGCACTTCCAGGAGTGGATCGACACCGTCGTCGAGGCGGCAGACCCGCCCAGCCTCGACCCGACGATTGCCCAGCTCGAGGCGACGGCGTTGGGCACCGCCGACGAGGCCGCCACGGCCGCCACGATTGACGCTTTCCGCCTGGTCGCCGCGGCGGGGTCGGCCCTCCGCGACGCCTCGACCACGACGCAGCAGCTCGTCCTCGACTCGCGCGACATCCCGGGCATGATGCCCACGCACTCCCCCTACCAGCGCACCGAGGGCGAGGTGCACGTCCTGTGGGACGACTACATGTCGGACAACGCGTGGTGGATCGAGCAGTGCATCGATCTCGGCATCCAAGGCACGCGCGATGTGAGGGCTGAGATGGAGAAGCTGACTGCACGCGGCAAGCTGGTCGCCGGCGCCCAGTCCCATCTCGTCCGGACGGGACAGGACCTCGTCAGGGCACGTCTGGCGGTGCACACGGCCGAGAGGGACGTCGAGAGGCTTACTGAGCTGAAGAGCGACTTTGAGGACAATCACGAGCTGACCGAGGAGGCGAGGATGGCATTTTACCAGCGGAGGATGAGCGTCAGGACCGACATTGTCCGCCTCATGGAGAATGCCACGCAAGCCTACCGATACCAGACTCTGAGGGAGAGCGACGTAACGCTGGATCCCACTGTGTCTCTCGAAGATCTCCAGTCCCGCCAGCTGGCGGCAAAGATGGAGCTCCTGAATTGGAAGTCGGGCTTCTCTAGCCCGCCGCAAAGTAAGAAACCAGACTTATTTACCCAATCTTTCAACTCTCAACCCGCTTGCCATATCCTATTCCTATTACTAACGACATCTTCTTCGCTACTCTGCAGAATTCACGCTTCCCATGTTTGCCTCCGAAATGGGTCTCCAAGAGCAAGAAATCCTCCACTCCCTCAAGAGCCCGGACACGAACCACACCTTCCGCTTCCATCTCGAGCCGGACTCCGTCACCGGTGGTACACCCGGACCGTTCGTTGACGGCAGCTACTTCCACATCACCGAGCTCGAGGTCTACCTGCTGGGCCTCGAGCCTGTCAGCACCCAGCCCCAGCACTCGGTCAAGCTGTCCGTCCTCACCACAGGCTCTTACAGCAACATCCGTGACGATGACACCGTTTTCGACTTTTTTATGCGTCCCCACAGCCGCTCCTTTCAGTACACGATCAATGAAGCGGGGGGGGTGGGCATCAACATCTGTGCCAACTTTGGCGGGAGCGAGTGGACGACGCCGACGCCTTTCAGTGAGTGGGCGGTGTACGTGTGGAACCCGGAAAATTATGACTTTACGAACGTGACGGATGTCATGATACTCTGGCACGGAGAGGCCTACTTTGACGCGATGCCGTCGCGAAGGACGAGATATCCAAAGGGGGCGGACACGTTCTTGAAGGCCAACAAGGGGGAGAGGTGTAAGTTGTAGTAGGCCGGGTGCCTTCGAACATTCAGCTGAATCAAGGAGCCTCGAAATACATTATTTCATATGTAGCAAGTTCTTCTTTTCCCCCTTGGACCTTCTGCTTTCTTTTTTTTCACTTTAGTTTCATTGGTTTACAGCCACAGGCCTGCTCTGCAGGGGTTATATAACACTGGAAGTGACTAGGCCCAATGTGCTCCATCTGTCCCTGACATGGCCACTGAATGTACATCGGCGCCGTTGGGGTTCATTTACCCCTCATGTGCGAACGAAGGATCGAGATCTACTACTTGCACATCCATTGTCAGGAGCACACACTATTCTGCTGGCCTGACATCAATGCAGCGACAACCTATAGTAGAGGTCGTAGAAAATTCCCGTATAACGCGATTTCGCGCTAATAAAGACAGGGGCTTGAGGTTGTAGAAGATTAAGGGGCTGAGGTCGTAGAGAATGCAGCGCGGCTATTGGGTGCATGAAGTTGAAGTGACCCCACTTGTTATTTCCTAGTGCTAGGTGCAATCGCAAGCCATATACAGGCGCAATTAATAGGTTCTACTTTATTAGAGGCTGCTGCGTAAAATATATTCTTAACGCATTCGAATCTAAATATAAAGATCTAGAACCAAGCAAGCCCCTATTAACCTATCGCAAGATAGAGCCGTTCGTGTAGTTACCCGAGTAGCTATTTATGATTTACCGGTAGTGTCAGGGGGGGTCGGTCGGCAGGTAGGACGGGGAATACTCGGTCAGGCTGATCTGGTCTATTACTACGGATAGGCACTCCTTAGGTAGGGCAGGCTCTATATACAAGACGTAGCTCGAAGAGCTATAACAGAAGACAGTCGGGATCGCGACAAAATACAAAGGCAGGCGCGAGTTCACGTGACTACTAGGTACAGGGTGGGTCCCCGCTCTTAACCAGCTATAACAGTACGCCCCCCTTCTAAGGGCGAGCTCTTACGAGTATTTATTAAGGACTAGGTTTATCGGGATATCGGCGGTGGTAGTTAGCGACGATCTATTACGCGTTCTCTAAATACTCTATAGGTTCTTCGGTCGGATTATTATACCTAACCTACTTTATAGTATACCGTAATTATAGGTTACCTCGGCCTCTTCGTTCCTAGCGGGAATCTACTATCTCTTATACTATAAACTCTTTAGCCTTATTAACTTTAATAAGCGGCGGGGGTGCGATATATTATCCGGGATAGGGGTTATTAGTAACGGGTCGGAGTAAGTTAACGTGGAATATAGGGTATACTCTTATACTTATAGGTAGTTCTAGTTTATAGGCGTACGGCGATATAGCCTTCTTAACCTTTAAAGGGCCGATATTCTTTTAGTCTAGTTTCTTCTACGGCCGTAGGGTTCGTAGGTTTCGGGCGTCTAGCTAGACTAAGTCTCTAGTGCGATACGTACGGGTAGGTCGGCGGTTCCGGTTCGCTTAGTCTTCGTAGCGGGCTTAGGCGGCGGTTAATTCGGACTATAGGTATTTATTAATCTACTTTATCTTACGAATAAAGTTTTCTACGTCCCGGGAGGCGGGAGTATTAGCGGTAGGGATATCTAGTTCGAACCCTATCCGGGGGTGGGAGCTATAGTTAGTAAAGAACGGCGATATACTAGTAGTCTCGGATTTCTAGGAGTTAGTAGCGAATTTAGCTAGCGGGAGCTAGGTAGACTAGTCGTCTTATAAATATAATACATAGGATCGTAGGTATTATTCTAGGATAATATTAAAGCGTTCAGTCTAGCCGTCCGTTTATAAGTATATAGCGGTTAATAATAGGCTCTTGATTTATAGCTATCGGTTCAAGCTCTTCTAGAACTCAGAAATAAACTAAGGGCCTCGGTCGGATATAATAGTTGATAGTAGGCTATATAGCTTCTAGATATAGTGTAGGTATAGACGGGCAGTCTTAGCCGAATCGTAGGTTGCTTTATAGGGTATTAAGTATCTTATCTTCGTTAGACGGTCTACTACGACGAGGATTACGTTATATCCCTAGCTCGGAGGTAAGTATATAATAAAGTCTATTAATACGTCTCTCTAAGCGCGTTCGGGGATTAGTAGCGGCTTTAGGACTCCTTAGTAGGCGTCTCGGGACGGGTTAGACCGGCGGTAGGTATAATAGTTCTTGATCTATCTTTCCACGTATACTAGTATGCCTAGCTAGAAGTAACTTCTAGATAAGATATCGTAGGTGCGGGCTCGTCTAGGGTGTCCGGCAACGGGTGACTTATAATAATAGCGGAGTAGTTCAGCCTTTAGTTCGTCGTGGTTAAGGACGTATAAGCGGTCTCGGAAGTATAGGCGGTTATAGTTCTCGGTGCACTTAGATAGTATAATACGGGTATAGCGTCGCTTACCTATACGGATCGCTTCTTAAATAGATTCCAGGACTTTATTAGCGGTATAGCCTTTATTAAAGAGGTCGGATAAGTCGGTAGGAAGTTCGGTTAGTAAGCGAGCGGCGTGGAACCTTACCCTCGGGTCTAGGTTCTCTCTCTTTAGTACTATCTAGCTCTAGTAGAGAAGGCGTTTATCCCCCTCCTTTAGGAGATCCTCTAACCTCCTAGTTAAAGCGTCGGGCTTAGCACCTTACTTCCCGGGTCGGTAGGTGATTTGAAAGTTAAATCGTAATAGGAACTCAGACTAACGGGCTTATCTTCGGTTTAGTAGCTTCGTTATAGTAAAGTACTCTAGGTTACGGTAGTCGGTAATTACTTTAATCGGTAAAGAGGCTCCCTCTAACTCCGGGCGCTACTCCTCGAAGCAACGAATTATAGCTATTAGTTCTTTATCGTAGATCTCGTAATTATACTTAGTAATAGTATACTTCTTCGAGAAGAAAGCAATAGGTCGTAGTATCCTATTATCCCCTACTTAAGATAATACCCTAGCGGAGACATAGTCGGAGGCGTCTATCTCTAGGATAATATTCTTTTCCTAGTTAAATAGGGCTAGTATCGGGGCGGTGCTAAAAGCGGTTTTCAGGCCTTCGAAGGTATTACGGTAGTTAATAGTCTAATAAAATAGGACTCCCTTTCTAATTAGGCGGTTCAAGGGTACGGTAATCTTCGAGTAGTCCTAGATAAATCTCCGGTAGAAATTACTGAAACCTAGAAAGGCTTATATATCGGTAATATAGGTCGGCGTCTTCTAGTCTCTTACGGTCCGGACTTTCTTAGGGTCTATTCGGATTCCCTCTTAGCCGATAATCAAGCCTAGGAATTTCGTCTTAGTTACGAAGAATTCGTACTTTAATATCTTAGTATATAGCCTAGCGTTCCTTAGGGCTTTTAGGACTATTCGTAGGTATTCTTCGTATTCGGACCTCGTTCGGCTATAAATTAGGATATCGTCTAAGTAGGCGGTATAGAAAATATTAAGGTATTCTCTTAGTATATTATTAATATACCTCTAGAAGGTTATAAGGGCTCTAGTTATTCTAAATAGTATAATAAGCGACTTATATAGTCTAAATCGAGTGCGGAAGGCGGTTAAGTACTCTTCCCTTACGCGTATCTAGATATTATTAAACGTAGAGATAATATCGACTTTCGAGAAATATCGCATACTAGCTAGGTTATTTAGGGATTCCTTAATCAATAGTAGCGGGTATCGGTCTTTAATAGTAACGTTATTTAGAGCGCGGTAATCGACATAGAAGCGTAATCCGTTATTGTTCTTCTTAACAAATAACACAAGGGATACCACAAAGGAGGAGCTTAGTTAAATAAATCCTTTTCATAGGTTCTCCTCTAACCACTCCTTTAGGGTCTTTAGTTCCTCTCGAGACATCCTATATAAAGGTCTAAATAATAGTGTGCTTCCTTCTTTTAACTAGATATAGTAGTCTTTAGGTTAGTGCGGCGGTAGTTTATTAGCTTCTTTAGGCGAGAACACGTTAGCGAACTCGGCGATCTCTAGGGGTAAGGTAGGTTCTTATTCGGTAGGTTCTATAATTATCTCTTCGATCTAGGCTATAGTGATAGCGAATAGCCTTATATCGCTCTTTCGGGTATATATAGATATAGCTCTTAGCGATACTAGAAAGATATCGCGTTAGCTTAGTGGTCCGGGGGCGGGCTTTAGATACTAGCGGATTTTCGTAGGAACGGTATATATAGCTATAACTTTTAACGAAAGTCCGGGCATATTATAGTACTATTAGTAATACAGGCTATTAAAGTGTAGTATATGGCTTCTAAAGCTAACGAGAGGGTCGTGTTATTTTAACTAAGGTATCCTAAGCACGATCGGGTAGCTTCTAAGTTAGGTTACGTATAATATTATATTCTTCTATTCGTGGTTATTTATCTGTATCCGGCTGCGGATATAGTGTATGATCTAGCCGCTGTCTACGGGGCGGCTATCGAATACCTCGATCGTAATCGGGTATATCAGTCGGTATATTCTTAGGTTATAGTTCTCGGCCTAGCTTCTATCGATAAAGGCCTTCCCCTTAGCTCCGTTATTAAGTATTACGGGGGCGGGTAGAGTAATATTATCGGGTAAAAGTAGTTTAGTAGGTAGAATTATTAGGTTCGATCGTTAGTTATATTCCTCCTTAATCGGCACGCTATATATAACGGCCGAGGAGATTTAAAGCGTTCTCTAAGCGGTTTTCTCGGGGATAGTAGTTATACGTTCTGCTAGTACCTACCGGTGACTTAGGGCAGGCTTACTCTGTTTTCCGTGCGGTCTAGGGAGGGTATTAACCTCCGACTATCCGGCGCGGGAGAGTTAGGGGATCTAGCAGGGGATAGGTCTTTGCTATTTAAAGCGGTAAATCGGGCTTAAGTGCGTCTAGTGTCTAGCTTCCGGTAATCTCGAATATAGTAACTATCGGAGCTATAGCGGAAGTAGAGGTTGTTTTCCCTCCGGTTCGGGCCCTATAGTCGGCGTTAGTTACTTAGGTCTATAGGGTCGTTAGTGGTTATAGCGGCGGGTACCGTATGGCGTAAAGGGCTACGGTTCGGAGGGCTACGTCCCTTACGCGGGGAGGTTTATCTCTGGTTTTAGTATAGAGCCGGTCTCGGGGGTTAGCTACGCTAGATTTATTATTAGTATTAGCGGTATCGGTTATCTAGAGTCTATAGGTAGTTAGCGTATTAGTAGAACTCCTGGCTAGGGGGCGGGTTATAAAGTAATATATCTTATAGTTCACGGGATATTCCTTAGAATAGTAGTGGCGTTAGGTTACTATTAGCTATTTCTCCCTCTAAGGCGAGGCGTTAGAACTCCGAGAAATACGTACTAAAGTCTTAGTGCCTCTAGCGGAGCTAGTATAAGCGGTTCTAGGCGTTCTAGACGCGGTTAGGGTCGCCGAACGCGTTTTCGAGATAAGTCAGGAGTTCGGGGTAGTCGCTAAACTATAGGATTCTAAAGATAGTACGGGGGAGTATTAAGGTATATACCTTCCCGGTAAGCCTACCGGCTATATATATTAACCGGCTCGTAGCGGTAGGGAATCGGTCGGCGTTAGCTATTATTTTTACGTAGATTTAATATAAGAAATAGCGGAGATCGGGGCGGGATCCTTTAAACTTATTAGGGTCGGGAAGCTTCTTAGATAGTCGGGAGGAGGTAATAGATCCGGTAGTAAGCGGCGGAGTCGTTCCTAAGTAAGGAGCTATAACCTCTTTAGCGGGGGGGGTTCTTAAAGCCTCTAGAGTAATTACTTATACGGTCGGTAAGCTGGCTTATTAGGCGAGTCGGGCGGTTATGGTTACCTCGATAATCTGTATATCCTTATCCTTTATCTAAGTAAGAAGGTTCCGGTTAGCCGCGCTCTCCTCGATAATCTTGGTTTCGAGGGTGGCTGTTTTCTCGTTTAGTATAGCTATATAATCGGTGAGGTTCGTAATCTAGGTATCTTAGGATTCTATATAGGCGTATGCCTATTAATAGAAATAAAACTATTTAAAAGGGTTACTAGCTACGGTATCTACGAAAGCGCGCGTATCCTAAGGTGACTCTAGAGGCGTCGGGCGGGAGGTTATCGTATTCAGCGTCCTATAGGTAGGAGCTACGTAATATCAGGGGGGGTCGGTCGGCAGGTAGGACGGGGAACACTCGGTTAGGCTGATCTAGTCTATTGCTACGGATAGGCACTCCTTAGGTAGGGCAGGCTCTATATATAAGACATAGCTCGAAGAGCTATAACAGAAGACGGTCGGGATCGCGACAAAATACAAAGGCAGGCGCGAGTTCACGTGACTGCCAGGTGCAGGGTGGGTCCCCGCTCTTGACCAGCTGTGACAGGTAGTGTCGGTTCGCATACGACATAGCCGAGATTCGTACGTATTTAAAAAAGCACCATATATCTATCGAGGCTCGCGAGAGGCTAAGGATTCATCGAGTAATAAAGGCAATCCTAGGACTAATTAAGAGCTAGGATAAATTAAAAGGGTTTGGATTACCGCTACCGATAATAGAGCCGATTCCGATTATCGCGCCGCCCGAGAGCAACGGGTTATGATACAACAGGTGCCCGTATATGGCCCGGACATAGGACAAAATACGAGAGCATTATCGCGAGGTCCACCAATAGGTTAGCCACTAGAAGAAGGGTAGTAGCGTGAAGAAGAAGGCGCAGCAGCCGCGATTATTGCCGTGGACAGCAGGTGTCCGTTGCTAGCGGTTCCTCCTAACCCGGGCGGCGAGCGGATGGTTCGAGGTCGGCCACAGCTGCGAAGAGCAAGAACATAGCGGAAATAACGCTGAGGACCCGGTTAAGCAGTTCAGGAAAGCGCACGAGGCACAGGAGCAGCGATTTAAGTCGAGAAGCCAGACGATCATCTAGGTAGCTAGCGACAAGGAAGAGCCGAGTGGTTGGCTGGACTTTGTAGGCTGGGCGCCGTATCTAGAGGGCTTACGAGCGGACCAGCTGCGGGAGGCAATAGGACCAGCCCAGGAGGGCGAGGTTGTGCTACAGCGCATGTGGGAGATTCTGGAGCAAGTCATAAACCAAGCGCGGGCCGCAGCGACGGCGAAGAAGGCCGGGAGACCCGCACTATTCGAGATTCAGCGAAAGGACATGCACTTGAAGCCGAAGCGGCCATTCGATAACCGGCAAGAGGATGACACATGGTGTCACAGCTGGTCAAGAGCGGGGACCCACCCTGCACCTGGCAGTCACGTGAACTCGCGCCTGCCTTTGCATTTTGTCGCGATCCCGACCGTCTTCTGTTGTAGCTCTTCGAGCTACGTCTTGTACATAGAGCCTGCCCTACCTAAGGAGTGCCTATCCGTAGCAATAGACCAGATCAGCCTGACCGAGTGTTCCCCGTCCTACCTGCCGACCGACCTCCCCTGACAACCGTGGCCGAAAGAAGTTAGCGGTGTAGCCACAAGGAATCACAGAGGCCTCGGATACTATGGCGTACCGCTATGTCAGTATTAATAATACGTACCCGATTTATTAGTATTATACCTAATCTCCGGATCTTCCGAGCGCTTTAGGTATAATATACTTACTTCTACTTGTAGAGGGAGAAGTAAGTTTGAGTTTTATGAATATATTACCCATACCTTCTCTCCCTACCTAATCTATCCTACTATTGTTACACGATGAGGTAGAAAAAGAGAAAGAAGAGGGAATTTACTATCCCCCTTTCCTATAAAGACCCTACGAGGTCTGTCCGTCCTCGCGGGCACGCGTTACGTGCCTATGTGAACCGGGCTGGGTCTTGTACCCAGCCGCCAGCGACTGGTAGAACTGTAACAAAAAGTATCGGGTTCCTCCGCTAGTCGTTCCTCTACCGAGAATATCCTAGAGCCTAACTTTATGTAGACTTGGGATATAGTATACGAGAGCGTGCGGCTAGATCTATTTATTTTAACTAATTTCGGCTGAGCTAGGTCCGATAGAACTACTGTAGTAAGTGGCCGTAGTTCGTAAGGTATTTAACGGGGTTTTATATATTTTCACCAGCTAGGGTTAGTTTTTTTATTCATTTAATAAGATACCTAAATTCTTTATTAATCATTCATTTATTTAAAACTCGTTCTAGCTTATAGAGCTCTTCGAGGACGTAAAAGTATCTAGAGGGCATATATCCATAGTCAATAGCCCCTTTGGCGTTGAAAGCGTCGAGAACGAAGAATCCGCCTGGTGCTTGATAGCCGACACTGATGAAGACAAATCTCTCAAATCAATTCTTGTGGTAGACTGCTAATCGCGATAGGATGCCGGCACCCCAGTCGTGACCAACGCCAATAGCCGACTCGACGCTCACATGGTCAAGAATTTGAATCAGATGCCCTGCCAACCGCTTGCCAGCGTATTGCTCTACTTCAATTGGCATATCAGAGGCGCCGAAGCCAAGCAAATCGGGGGCGAGTACGCCAAAGCCCTCCGCCGTAAAGGCAGCAATTTGTGGCTCCTAGTCTCTATGGGTAGAGGGATAGCCGTGGATGAGAAGAAAGGTCGCCTTCTTCTCCTGAGCCGCGGTGAAGCTGTAGGCATATGTTGCGCCATCCGTGGTTGTAAAAAAGTCCAATTCATGATTGTGGACGGTATGTGACTGCACGAGGCTTGGTAGAAGAAATGTGTAGCATAGTTGCACATATCCAGGTTTGACAGACTTGTTGGGAGGTATGCAGGGTGGAATTGGTATGCTAGCTGTGAAGAGCGAAGAGATCGAAATGTTAGTTACTGTGAAGACCAACCGTTTTCTTGTAATGAGCCATTTGCTCTATGGAAGCTTAGCGACTTTAAGTACCTTACAAGCCATTACAGGCAGGTCAATAAGCAACTCACACAGAGACGGGGGACCGACTGTAAGATGGCTGGTAGCAAATGAGCTAGGCTCGCTATGGGCTTCCTAATGCGGAAAAGATAGCACTTCATAGACGCGTAGTTCTAATTAATCAGCGAGAGCACAAACCAAGACCCACATTGGTGCGGCAGAGTTGCCTATTAGGGTAGCGGGCCTGCACAGGCTCGTGCCCCAGTTTTCTTGTCCGTTGAAACCACCATACGGAAGTTTACTACTCCGTAGTGCAAGGACACTACTTATTGTGAGCACGTGCGAACACGACGCCTCGTAATTGCAATGGTTACTAAATGTAACTAGATTCGGTAATGTATAACGAGATAGCAAAACCAACAATTGCACTTTTATTGACTCATGCCCATAATTACAAATCAATCGTTCAGAAGGCAGATATTCATCTTCTTACAAGAAGCCTTAGTCGTCTATTGATATAAAATGACTACACTATCCTTTAACTTCATCCACATCCTTTGATTTCAGTATTCACAGCAAGACAATAGTACCAAAGCACCAAGTGTCTACCTACTAAACACCTACTTCCTGTCATTTCGAAACGTCTTCAATATGCGCGTCGCTATTGCTGGTTCCGGCGGCGTAGCCCGCTACCTCGTCGAAGAACTCACGGCCGATGGAAATGAAGTTGTCGTTCTTACTCGATCCAAAAAGTTTTTTTTCGATGTCGTCTCCGGCGTCGAGCAGTTTATCGCTGATTACTCGAATGTGGAAAGCCTTATGAAAGGCATGGAGGGCGCTACCACCGTTATAGTCGCCATCCTCGACCATTCTTCTGCCTTTGTCGACATCTCTTCACGCATTATCGAAGCCGCTAAACGGTCTCCAACCGTTACTCGACTAATTCCTTCAGAGTACAGTGGCAACATCGAGGATTTCCCCGACATGCCCCGGTTCGAGGCCATTATTCACGAGCCAATTCGCAAGATATTGCGTGCACAGACCGAGCTCGAGTACACGCTCCTCGCTAACGGATGGTTTGTCGACTACCTCATTCCCACCCATAACCGACACCTAAACGATATCGGCGACGCGAACCCCGTTAATTTCGCCAAGAGAACCATCCAGATTCCTGGCACTGGTAAGGAGGGCGTCGATCTTACCGCTGTTAGGGACATGGCCCGCGCCGTGGCTAAGCTCCTTCGAGCTCCGAGCGGGGAGTGGGATGAGATTACTAACATCTCTGGCGAGAAATCCACCTGGAATGAGGTTGCCGCCTTGATAAAGGAGAAGAATCCAGATATGATCGTCTCCTACCGCACCCTGAACAACTTCATTGACGACCTGCACGCCAGTAAGACCGACTGGGATCGACTTCTCGCTGGATTTGGGATCCATTCGGCTTCCGGGGCTGGTTCGCTGCCCGCCCATAGGGTCGCAGCTCAACGGGCGAAGTTCTTCGCAGGGGTCAAGTTCCGAACGGCAAGGGACGTGGTAGAGGAGGCGGAGTGCAACCCAGATACTATCATTTAATAAATGATTGTCTACTTATGGAGCAGAAGCCTTGAGGGGTTTCAAAGGAAACGGACATAGGGGGCTAGTCCCTGAAGGAGGGTTTGGCTCTATGGTTTATATTCCATGTTCATTGTCCGATACCATCAATATAGGAGTATGTCATGTTCTGGCGTCTCTGATAGCATCCTTGGCCATGGTTTGAGTACCCATTCCATGGGCGCGGCGTCCCGCTGCTTCCAAGCCCCCTCCGCGGCGAAGAGAATAGTTTCAAATGTAGCAAATCCCGAGGATATACGTTGCCCAAATCTGGCCCTGACCCTGTCTCGCAGAGTAGGCGTGCTAGCCTCGAACGCGACTGTAGCATAGACCCATGATCTAGGCCCTCCGCCCACCGGCATCATATCAAGGTGCTCCAAGTGCTCTAGACATTTTCGGACGAGATCCTGGATTTCGCCATTTGATCCACGTTGACCGGAGATGCTCTTGAAGTAGAGAAGGCTGGAGAAGTAATATAGAGAGCTGTGGTGATGATGCATTGCTGCTGAATTCTGCTTGCTCAGATCTACATCAGGGGATGGTGGTGGGGTCGAAAGGGCGAACTCTAGCTCGAGTTCGTCTAACTCCTCCTCTGTAAGAGGTTTTCCACGGAGCATCTTCGTATTAAAGGTAGAGATAAGCTCGAGAGTATTCTCGGGAACGCCCTGACTCCTGCAAAGGTCAAGTCCCGCTAAATCAAGCTTTAGCGGAACAAGGTGCTCCTCATGGCCAATGTATTGCGACTGAAGCAAAGCGAATGCCATTGCATAGCACTGATATGTTAGGGACGTTGATGTAGATTCAATCCATGTTTCTTTGCCAATCGTTTGCAGGAGGTCGCGCGTCGCCTTTATCAACCCACGCCAATGCCCAGGCGTACCTCTGATGAAATTTGTGAGCAGAGAGAGGCATAAAGCTCCCAGGATAGCTAGCCGCTCAGCTACAACAGTCGTGTGGATGTTCTGTGTCAAATGATAAAGAGCAAGTTGCTGATGGCGGTGCGTGAGTGCGCTGCCTTCAGGGGAGGCGCCTTTAAGATTATCTTGGTGAGCTGCGGAAGCAGCGCAGACGGCATGGAAAATAGCAATAGAGCCGCTAGACTTTTCCTTATCCCGAGCTAACCGACTACCTTCCAAAGCCATAGGCGAGGCGACGGTAAGGAAAGGATTCACGGAGCTACGGAAAGGCATAAGTTGATCGCAGAGCTGCGTTACCCAATGATTTACTAATGCCCGCTCCGCTGGCGGACTCCAGCCATCATTCAGCGGCGCTGTCGGGCTCCCTAAAGGCAAGTCCATGGCTGTCCAGCAATTGTTGGCAAGGTCAGACTGCCACAAGGGCGAACCCGCAAGCACGTACGGTTGTGGATGTTGTGACCTGATCAAGGTCAACGGATGGTCCGTAACCTGCACGTCCAACGTTTCGTAGGATGGCCACGCGTCCGAAGGATCGGTCGTGGCTGAGGCATGTTGTGCGTCAAGCCACTGTAGGGGTATCGTCCTGGCTTCAGAAGACATAGGCTGGTCGAAGTGTTGGGGATCGGTGCTCCAAGTGAAGTTGGACAGATCGTTGCATGATAAGACCTCTGGCGGGATATCGCCTTGATTATAGGCGATGTCGAGACAGTTGAAACTGAGGCGGCCGTTACCGCCGTCAAATTCTCCACTTAAGCTCCCTTTCTCGTTTTGTGCCGGCTCGCTCTGGTTGCCGCCTGAGGGAATGGCTCCGAATGTTGTGAAGCTGTGAGTATCTTGACCCGCGTCGGTAGGGGCAGGGACGTTAGGGTGTGACCTCAGACCGACATCCTCAGCGGAAACGGGGACGATGCGATCACTGGTGCGCCGCTTATGACACGCCACATGAGTGTTACCATCATTGCTCAACACCACACTGGATGGCTGCCAAGTGAGTCGAACGCCGTAACCGCGGCATTCAAAACCCCCGGTTTGGCATCGCTTGCATAGTGGACGTTGCTCGTCACATTTCACGCGGCGACTTCGACATGTCCAACAGCCTGTGAACGTCCTTCGGCGTCGCTTTGTCGTTGTCTCAGCCCCGCTAGCAATCGCCATGGTGTAACGATTGTTTAGGGTGTCCGTTATTTTGATTGATTTTGCTTCTTTCCTCTATGCGCTTCATCCACGTTTACTAGCAACTCTTGAGAAGGGTTGCGAATGTGGCTCGGACCAACTTGCGGCTAGTGATCGGGGGGAACAAATAGACGATCTCTTCGTGAAATTGCTTTCGAAAGAACTTCGGGAGTAAGAGGCTTGAAGCCTGCTGAAGTGGCAGCAAGATGGGCTTGTGGCTCCGGGCTAGGCCTCGTATCAAACTTTGAGGTTCTTCGCAAGCGGTATGAAGATGCGGAGGGGGGATTTTTTCCGGCTAGGTCCGATGCCTGCGCTCGATTTTGCGGCGGTGTCGTTTGCTGCTAGAGTTGCGGTTGTACGATGTCGTAGGCTTGTGAATGTCATGACGGTCGTTGAAGATAGGGCTAGAGCGATTTAAAGGGGCGGTTTCAAGAAGTCCAGATAAAGGATGAAGTGTAAGGTTGACTAAGTCACCCGTCACCGCTAAGTGTCAGACCGAAAGGGGTCGGACCGCGGTGACTAAGCAAAGAGGGGTCTGGAGATGGCTGGAATGAAGGGATCAGCACACAGCACGATGAACAACGGAAAAAAAACAACGAACACACAGTTAAAGGCCTTAAAATCAGCCTCTTGATCATCAATTCAAATAGCCTTTTCTAGGCCCCAAAGATCTACTATTTCCTCGATTATGAACACTTGCACACATACACACTAACTCGGGCCGTGCCTCCACCAAAGCGGTCACGTGTCCGACACTAAGTCGCTGAGAGCGGGGTTGGCAAGATTGGTGGAACTCAGTCCAAATACGGATTAGGGTAATGGGTCGTTAGCCATGACTTTCTAAGACACTAGAGCCGCCTGCGCCCCGCAGGTCTACGCTTCTCATTGCTCCCCGGATACCTTTATCAATCAACGATTTAAGCAATGGTTCAAGAACTTCTGACCACAAGGAATTGCACATGTTGGCATGTGTTCAATGAGATCCGCGTCGCTGATTCATCAAAGGTTGTTTTAAGCAACCTCTCAAGTCATTTCTCCATGTGTGCTGGATTGAACGAAGGGTTGTGATACACTTCGGAGGTTGTGTGGCCATTCAACCGAGCACATTCGCGCTGCGTATGGGTGTCACGTGCCGGTCACGTACACCCACAAGCAGGATAGCGACAAGGTAGCATTGACAACGCCGCAGCCAATCAGGCTGCGCGCACACGCTCCGAGGAGCAGCGCCGCCATGCCTCTTTAGGCTGACCGACTGGCTTGCCCAAGGACGTTTGAATTGAACATCCTTATTCCACCCGTTTGATCTGCCTGTAGTGCATCAGATCTAGAGCTTGGATTAGTAGACTAAATAGTAACATAACGGGCGTACGATATATATAAAGAGGCATAGAGGCACCCTCTATGAATTCGTTGGAATTGATTAATAACTCCAGAAAGAATTTTATATAGCGCCCACAGAATTATTTTTTATATATCAGCTGTTTTTGACTAACTTATGCTATTGCTTACCTCAGAGATAAGGATATAAGTTACGGTATGCTAGCTATGTTTTAGCATTCACCTATTTAGCTAGTCAAGCGAAAGTGGAAATACTAGGAGTATATCGAGCATAAACCGTCTTCGGATATTAGTATTAGAAAGCTCTTAAAACGAGGGTTACCTAGAGGAAAGTACCGTTTTCACAGCTGGCCTACATTCAAACACACTTCCTGCGCAGGAGAATCAGACATAGAGGCACTTCGGCAGTTTGACCGTGGACTTCGCATGTGCTTGGTTTATTAATTTCTCCTAACACAAGGTTTCGAACGAAGACTTATTTATCAGAGAGCCTTAATTCTTTCTAGCGTGGGCCAATCCCATCTTCCGGGCGTCTTCATCTCATCGTCTGCCCCGTAAAACCGCCCTACACCATGTGTTAGTTATCCCAGTCTTCCGCAAGGCTGCGACAGAATGCAGGTGTGGACGTACAAAGCACGCTATATGTGACATTGACTCCCCCAAACCCGTCAGGTGTGGGAAGCCAGTTGGATGTCCAGTTCGCAGGCGGCGGTGTCGAGTTGCTCTGCAGCAGGATTTGGAAGGGCCGATCTTCGTCTGAGGTGTCTTCACTCGTATAGACTGGCGAGCCATCTGGATAGGTCATGCTACTCCGATCACCGAGAGCGTAGCGGTCTATGCTATTTGGGACGAGGAAGCCAGCCTCGTCGTACATGGTAACGCTCCAGAAGCCGCCTTCGACTAGCGTCGGCTTGCGCGGGAAGGTCCATAGTTCGGCATCGCCTGGGTCAATAGTTGACGACAAGTCCGGACTAGAGTATGGGCCTCGGTAGTTTGGCGTCAAGTACTGTTGGGGTCCGATACCGAGGTAGCCCCGGACGGTGATGGCCGCACGGAAGAGGTAGTCCATGCCGAACTCACCAAGGCCATAGCGCCAGATCCATTCCGGGTTCATTTGGATGATGCGCCTAGGGTCGGCTGCCGCTGCTGGCAGGGCTGACGCGATAATGGACTGAATCGTTTGCACAAGATCCTGGGCAGGCTTGCAGCGACCCGGCTTACCACGGGCCCATCGCAGGGCTTTGGTGAGATTCTGCTTCACATCTTGGTTAATGAGCTCTTGGTCGCTGGGGAGAATGTAAGGCATCAAGCCCTCTGCAGTGTCGAAGAGGAGCGACATGTTGACTGCATCATAAACTGCCGGCGATATGAAGCTTGCGGCCGTGATATCTTGGGGCCGGAGAATCTTAGTCGTCAATTTGGGGCATCCCTTGTCACAACGTGAGCGTCCCCGGCGTTTGAGAGGTTTAATGGACCACTCGCGCCGGATTTCGTCTGTAAGCCGCTCGTCCTCAGGCTCGTTGAACAGCAGGAGCCTGGGGAACATCAAGCCATAGACGGTGGGGAAGTTGATGCAACCGGTGATGTTCTCGTACATGCAACCGTGCCGGCCCTCCCCTGCCATCTCCATCCCAGGCTGTCCCGGCTCCGCAAGGCGCAAGACCCAGGTGCCCGCGCTGGCGTTGTTATAGCTACCGAGCGCGGCGAAGAGATTCCCGTATCTGCCATTGTGTCAGAGAATCGTATGCGCGTGGTTCGTTTTTCTTCCCAGAGCAACAATCGCATCACAAGAAGCGCGCGACTTACAGGTCATGGAATGGGAAGACATGGCCCCTCTGTGGATCAATCTCGGGTAATGTCAAGAGGAGGTCGGTCTCAGACAGGTCGACGGCAACTTGAGAGTATAGTGTATCGACGTTAGGCCGCGTGACAGTCTCCGAGGCCGCTGCTGCCAGTCTCTGATGCTGAAAGGCGTTTGTGCCCACTGCGTCGATGGTCGGTGCGAAAGTCCTGGCGTACTGCGCCAGGGGGTAGAAGTACTGTTATTGCATTAGCAAATTCAGACTTGTTTGGGGGAATGAGCCTCGCGGAAGAGCGAACCATAAGAGATGCCGCTACTGCGGCTGCGACATGAGAAGGCATCTTGAAGTTGATTGCTATATCTTGAATACAATCGCAGTACAGCTACTTTGCATCACGTTCATATCTGCGGATACTCCAGCACTTTTAGACACTCGCAAGGTCATGTTAGTTTAACAAATGAGGGGGCATCGAAAGGGTGGAGCTACTAGTAGGATGTATGAACAACGGGTCAATGGTCCGGACGTACATCCTATGTATCAACGGCGGTGCGGGTAATGCTTATGATATGCTGAGCATGACCCAAATCTGGATTGTCTTTGGTCTCAAGCATTAGTCTCTCAAGCATTAGTCTCCCGGAGGACTGTAGGGGAATCATGCTTTTCCAGTTCTTTTGGCGGTCAACAGATATTTGCTGATCTCCAGAGCCATGAGCGGATTCAAACGACTGGGTTAACATGTACTATACGGTTTGGGAACCAACCAAAAAGTTCTCTATCGGGGTTACGTTCATAGAGGTCCGAGCTAATCATTATCGCTCAAGATGGGCTAAGGATCTCCTCAGCTCAGCCGGAAATGTGAAGCCGGAGGAAATGTTGAGCCGGAAACCTCAAGCTTGCTTGACTAAGGAACCCGTTTATTGCGATTAGTCCTAACAATCGCTAACCCTAGAACTAGGAGTTGATAAAGAAATAGTTTAAAACCTAGGAGTTGATAAAGGAATAGCTCAAAACCTATGTATTATTGTCATAAGTACGAAAGGGATCCTAGTATAGAAAACAAAAATCTCGCATTACTTAACGTAGTGCAAGTATTACCTCCTACTACCTACCTACGTCAAGTCTTCTATACAATCGGCAAACCTGCGTATCCTAGAAGATAATAAAGAGTGCCACCGCCACCCACACCACCGTCAAGGAGAACTGCCTACCCGTCGCGCTGGCCGGAACTGGCGTGGGCCCGCCATCGTCTCCGTTGTCTCCATCGTCGCCGCCGCCGTCGCCGCCGTCATCTCCACTACCGTCACCTCCATCAACGTTGCCGCCGTCATCAACATCGCCGCCGTCGTCGTCTCCATTGCCGCTATCACCTCCATCGACGTTGCCGCCGTCGTCACCTCCATCGCCGTTGCCGCCGTCGTCACCTCCATCGCCGTTGCCGCCGTCGTCACCTCCATTGACGTTGCCGCCGTCGTCACCTCCATCGACGTTGCCGCCGTCATCATCATCGCCGTTGCCGTCGTCATCATCATCGCCGTTGCCGTCGTCATCATCATCGCCGTTGCCGTCCCCTACACCGCCGTCGTCAACATCGCCGCCGTCGTCAACATCGCCGCCGTCGTCAACATCGCCGCCGTCGTCAACATCGCCGCCGTCGTCACCTCCATCGACGTTGCCGCCGTCATCATCATCGCCGCCGTCGTCAACATCGCCGCCGTCGTCACCTCCATCGACGTTGCCGCCGTCATCATCATCGCCGTTGCCGTCCCCAACACCGCCGTCGTCAACATCGCCGCCATCGTCACCGCCGTCATCTCCATCGACGCCGTCGCCATCGTCTCCGTTGCCGTCACCTACACCGCCGTCGCCCCCAGAACAGAGCATATTCCCCATGCACGTTTCGCCCGCGTCGCAGTAGTATTCGGACGAGCAGCACGAGGCACCCGCCGGCATGCAGCCAGTACCGCATTTCTCCTTCCCATCGGAGCAGGCGCCCGAGGCGCCAGTGCAGGTTTTCCCTACAGGGCAGCAGCCGCCGTTGTCTTCGTCGCACACCGTGCTTATACCACACCAGTTTCCGTTATCGCAGCATCGGCCACTCACGGGGATGCAGCCGCCACCGCACTCCTTTTGGGCGATACCGCAGGTACCCTCAGCCTGACGGTCGTGCAGCTGCGGAGCCTGGCGGACGATGGGGGACCCGCGGACGTGCAGAAACTGGGGGAACGGCGAGGGGTCCTTGAGTCCGTGGACTATCTCCTGGGCCGCGAAGGGGGCCATGGCGGCGGCGAGGTGGGGAAGTGCTGCCATAAGGCAGGTGCTGATTTGGTACTTCATAATTGTGTCGGTGTTCAGGTCTGGTCTGTCTTAAAGGGGTTTGAAATACAATTAAAAGCAGAGAAAGGGTGTCTTAACTTATCGACTATTCTAAACAATTCAGACGGGGGCGCGATGATGAATAAATACAGTCGGGGAGGATGCTGTTTTCCAAGTGCCCGGGACCATTCAATCTGACAGACCAGGGTAGCGACAGGGATGGCGCCTCAGCCCATGCAGGCTAGGACGATCATTGTCTAGTGGGGAGGCGGTGCGTCTTCGCCTCAGTGCGGCTAGCAATGCCTGGGACATCATGAGGTGAGACATGCCCAGTTGAGAACTGCTGGCTGTCTAATCCGCATTTCCTTAAAATTCGGACACGCCCAACATCGACGTCGCTATCGTGCCCGGGAATGAGGGCATCGCTAGAGGCCGGCGTAACACCACGCCGTTGAGGAGAAAGTCCCAAAACATTTGCGGTGATCGCGTAGACCCCGATTTCTCTGCGGACTCGTACGGCTGGCGGTCTTCAGCCGTTGGAGCTAAGAAGGGCTTGACCAGCCGTCTTCAGCTGTCCAGCCTTTCACGAGGTGCTGCATGAGGGGTTGTGGCGGTCAAGCTTCGGATTGGTCGGTCAAAGATGACGACGCTCCAGCGGGCGTCTTCCACGTTCGCGACCAGGGCCTAATAATAAGCATAACCATCGTTTCTCTTCTAAATAAAGCCGTCCTGTGACTGTTCTGCCTGTAGACACACTAGGAGGGTTCTCTAGCGCCGCCATGTCCTCGTATCTAGCAACCTCGTATTCAGGCCGTAGATGGCGACAATATCGATATCTATAGCTGTGATAGTATGATCGGGGCTGATCTGGTAGAGTCGGAGCCCTTGTGTGGCTCAACTTGTACCGCCCCCTCTTGAGCTGAAGATAGCTGCGCGCGCTCCACGACGCATGAAGAGGCGGCATGCCGAGCACACGCGGGCCATGCTAGTTCACATGGGGGACGACACGGGAGATGCTAGGCTTTCTTTGAAGCGTGAATACGAACCTGAGAGTTTCCTTGCGAAGCATTACCTACTTGGAGAAGATCGATGCTTGTGCCAGGAGCCAGCATACCAGGGTGTCATCTACTCGTGTCCGAGCCTGATCTCGACGTGTTTTTCACCTCATTCCTGTGTCTACCTTGTTTGTGCCCGAGCATGACTAGGTTCACCCAATCGCCCCGGCGTGCGCCTTATTGGTGGGCGCAGAAAACGTTCCTAGCCAAGTGACATAGCCTTGCTAGCACTAACAACAGTCGTCAAATCCAATGCATTCCCTCATGGCGAGTATGACTCAGAGTTTGGGACCCGGAGGGAAACCATGCTGACCTGCGGATAGTCAAAGACCTATACAGTATAGGACCTTCTCCGCCAAAAGCAAAAAAATCAAGACCCAATTCTCACCCAACTACACGCCGGTTAACTAGGACTCTGCTAGATCCGCGAGACACAAGTCCGACCGTCTCGAAAAGCCAAATATCAAGCGGTACTTCCTCAATATTAGTGCCTTTCTGGTGCCAAACCCCCGCTGCGATCCTCGACGATTTTCATGGCCCCATGGAAGCTGCAGAGAGTACCATGATACTTCAGAGGTCTGTCTGCCTTTGCAGCTTCATTTAAGTTGGCGGGCCGCGTCGACATTTGACTGAGTTATGGAATGCGACCTGTCAAGCTCTTTCATTCGCTGGCAAATCGATGCGTACTACCTCGAATGAGGAACAAGGCAAGGCTACAAGCAGCAGCATCCGAAAGTACTAGGTGTTACGCCACGAGGACAGAAACAACAGCACACGGGCGAGACGGAACGAAGTGGAGATGCTTTATATGACCGTGAGAGCCAGCTGTTATACGGAGACTATTGTCTCTTTTTCTGTCGGATGCTAGCGGGAAGCTGCAAGAGCAAACACGGGTGGCAGTGGACACGGGAAGGCATGCGGCCTCTGGTCAGTTAGTAGCCGTAGATTCATATGCAGCTTGATTCCATCTTCGTCCCTGTCGTCTTCCTAGACTGCATTCTGTAAGAAACTGGATGCAGTAAACGCGCGGATTTCCGAGGCCGAAATGGAGTGATTGTCTATCCCCCTGAACCCCCCTTGGCAGCCAGCTATGGCAATATGGCAACACGGCTCTCGGGGCCTGCAGAGATCACGGATGATAGAAGATATGATCGTCGCCACATCAGAGCAACTGTGATTACCAGAGCCCTTCCAAACCAATAGCTGACAATCAGGGGTCGATAGATCGCGCTCTCATCGAGGACACGGGTGGTTTACGGGCCATACTGTCAAGACTATAGCTCAGGCCACTCCAGGTCTACGTCTCGTACAAGACTTAGAGGAGCTTCTCCAGGAGACGAAAACAGCAGCGAATATGGATTTGCAGCGTGTGCAACTCGTCGTTACGGGCTTTCACTTAGAGCAGCCGACCAAGGCGCGTGTGAATCCTGACCCGCTTATAATTAGATCTTTTACTAGTTTTGACCTTTATATCTAAGTACTTATATTTATTTTATTCGTCGATATATCTATAATTATAGCGGCGATGAAGTCTTTAAAGTCGTCGAAGTAATAAGAGAGAAGTTAGCCGCTGATAAGAAGCTACTTATAGATAAATAGAGTATAGAATCCCTTCCTCTTCCAATCGCCTCTTTAGCCGATATTATAATACTATTAGCGGTGAAGAGCGTATTATAGACGAGTTTAAGAGTTGTTTCCTGTACTAGCTTTAAAATTCACCAAGTATAGAGAACCCCGGACTCAGATACAGGGACCATAGAGTGTTAAACCGTATAGGATATAGGATTACGAGAGCTCTTCAAGAAAATATAATAACACTTTATTAATACCGCACGTAAGCCTGCTCACTCTGACGATATTCGTACTCATGTCGAATTATTATCGCATGTCGCTAACTCTCTCGTACTTTCCGAATCAGTATTACCCTTCACCCCCCTCGGGTTGCGCGACATGGAGATTGCTTGGTCTTCATGGAAATTCTCATCTCGAGCACCGGCGACTAGCTCCGCCACACGTGGTCTCCTGGCTTGTCGAAAGTCACTCCATAGGTTTTTGCAAGCCGTCCGAGAAGTGACGACGTAGATGACGGCGTTCCAAAACCCCTGCAGGGGCAGGACAAAAGCGCTCATGATCTCTAGCGTCGGCAAAGTCTTGGGATGAATAAAGGAGTAAACACGATTAGCGCTCGAAGGGATCCAAGTGATGAGCAGCGCGGTGAAGAAAAGTATCGCGCACTTGGTGTATGCCCATGAGGCCGTATTCACTTCGTGGTTTCTTCGCCGTGCTGAACCGACCACGGCGCCAGATGGTGTGGTAGTTTTTGAGGGCCGAGAAGGACTAGCCCCCGATTGAATGTGCGATTGGCCACCGCCAGTAGCGACTGCAAATGTATAACCTCTCGAAGCAACTTCAGGCCCCAGGGAAGACTCGCTCTGCGGATGCAAGATGTCGGGATGCCCGGCGTCCGTGGAAGACACCGTTATTTCTGTCGTCTTGAGATTGGTCATTGTCTCGGTGTGCGCCACAGAGACAGGGTCTGAACTGGACGGACTGAACTCGTGCAATTGCTTATGCTTGTAATAAATGGTGCGACCGGCGCGGATATAGATGAAGACGGTGGCAAGAATCAGAATCCTAGTTGTGTTAGTGGGATACTGAGTGGTATCATCTTGTAACGTTATTCAACTTACCACACGGGTGCATAGAATGTTACAATGCGCAGTATGTTCCATTCCGTTGTCACCCAGCACCACAGAGTTGCGTCTCCATAGACGCGATTGCCTGCGTGGTCTTTGAGGAAGATGTAGACAAGGGCTGGGATTAAGGGGACGCCATAGCAAACAATCATGTAGGGGATTTCCATTCTGCGAAGACGTTGGGCATCAAATCTGTAGTAGAAAGTGAGGTAAACGTTGATTGCCATGGCTAGAGTCCAGAAGGCATCTGCGGGCATGAACCTATTCAATTTACAGCGTCAGCACCAAGGCCCTTGCTTGTCTGCGAACCTGCCTCGGAGGCGATGGAGTAACTTACATTTGAATCAAAAAAGCCTGGAACTGGCAGCCCACTGAGTTTGGCGATGTCGTATATGTGCGCGACATGAGAGTGCCGACATTGGTCAACATGTTGCCAAAACTGGCGTAAAACACAAGGCGGTTGACAGGCTTGTGAAAGCTTCTGGACATGCAGAAGGTGACAATGACGAAGATGGATCCCACAAGCGATACGGCCGAGCAGGCCCTCTCAATGCTGCTGATAGCCTCGAGCTGTGTCTTGGTGAGCCCATCAGGCATGGTGCCTGTTTAATGACTGTTGGCTGCTGAGGTTCTCGAGGGTTGGTGTTCAATTGCCGATTTAGGACGCCGCTGGCAACATTGAAGCAGACTTTGTGGTTCAGTTGCACAGTAAAGAGATAATAAAAAAAAGCAAAGAAAGGTTTGGCAGAAAGTACCAGGCAAACAAACCTCAACGCTGCCCACACGCAGCGGTCAGTCAAGGGGCTGATTTAACCGGTATTCAAAACAAGTGGCGTACAGGGAGACGCACATGGAGATCCAGAGCCATGGGCTCCAAGGTGGTGGGGAGATAATGAGCTAAGATGCAGGCTAAGAGGCGAGCAACGGGGATTGCCGGTCGAGCTGAACAGCCACCAGATCCAGGAACGTGTCATGACTCGGTGAGCCGACGGTGGTCACTGATCCCCAGCGACGATCTGCAACCAAGAGTTAGCCCCCAATCGACAGCTATCGGTTCCTGCTTTGGGTTGTGTCCAATATGCATGCATTGCATCCAATGATAGTTTCCTAAAGCAGCTCCTTCCTCATATTGTATCGAATTTCTGCATGAGCGTCGAAGATCGGATGGTCTACCTCGTGCTGTCGCCGTTTTGTGGATCTTCACCTGCAAGCCGCTATTCCCCACAATGTCAAAAATTAGACTACAGGGCTTGGCCGGGGATGCCAAGAGTTCCAGGTTTGCCCCGTGGCGCCTGTCCCCCGCAAGAAAGTACTCAATGTGGACGACCTCAATTCAGCCGACATCGCTAGCTGGTTCTCGAGCAATCAAGGAAAAAAGCCATAATCACAGACGCCATCTCATTTCCTGCATTATCATTCGCTTGAGAGTCCCTCGTTTAGCCACGTTTTCCTTAGCTATAACAAGGCGGCCCTTCGCTTTGAGGGGCTGACCCCTGTAGGAGGCGACTGATATCACGAGGGCGTCTGCGAGTGGAAATGACCTGACAGGGGAGAGCGCGGAGAGGGGCTCGGTTGGCCCAGTAGATACACAGGAGGAGACTAAATTAAATGACTCGCAGAGCTTGATCAGAGCTGTGAACTCCCTTTTGCCAGTTTTCTACATACGTCCACGTGGTCACCGGGGTAGGCTCCGTAAATTCGCTCTTTCCCAAGGTCTACCGTGCCTGACATCAAATCACACGCAACTCCGGCCGGTTTGCAGTGTGAGCGGGCACCGCGTGCGATTGTTGAGTGCTTTCTGGATTGATAACTGCCTTGAGCTCTCCGCGGCTGCTCTGAGCGGTGGGCACGCAACACAGGCCGTGCATCTCACCAGAGAGCTCGGGTTCATCGGACCCAACATTAATTTGGGGTCGAAGAAAGGTGCTATCAGGCGAAGACTGATGGTGTTTTCCTTTTCCATGCTTCCACTATCTTTGTGATATATTTCCGGATTTTCAACGGTACTTGTCGGCCCCGCCTTGAGGCTCCGTTACTCGAGGGCAACGAAATCGTGACGTCAAATCGTGCCTGGAGCCCGTCACTGCGCCGCCCTCTCCTAGCTCGAGAACATGGCCTTTCGAACCTACGCTGTCTTGCCGCTCAACTCTCGTATTCATAACAAAATCATTTGTTCGGCGCAGCTGCATGCGACCCCATATCATGGCCAATCTTCTCACCGGTCGCTGTGTCTGCGACAACGTCCAGTTCAGTGTACAACTAGACGCTTCGGAAGAACCCAGGACGACCCTATGTCATTGTTCCAGCTGCAAGAGGGCTTTCGGGACGAATTTTGGGCTTACCACCAAGGCAAGAGACACTAAGCCCCTACATCTTGACGTGTTTCGCAGTCCTGATCGGAATGCAGATTCCTCTGAAAGCCTTTCGCTATTCCCGCGGCGAGATTAAGAGGTTTAAGCAGGATAACGGGGTGACTCGAGAATTCTGTGCGGAGTGTGGCACACACCTTTGCGAATATGGGGTGTGTAGCCTGGCCCTCTAGGTATTGGACTAGACACTGACGGTCTGTAGGAGCGAGCTGCGGAAAATTTCCGCTATATCCTTTGGGGAGTGTTCGATCAAAGGGAAAAGGTTCCCCCGAAGGGTGAGTTCTTCTGCTCCCAGCGGGAGAACTGGATGCCAGAAATCCCAGGTATAACGATAACCCTGCCTGAACGGAGGTCGCATGCTAACGGCATCGAAGGAACCTTTCGTAAGAACGAAATCATGGAATAAGGGGAGATTTTGTACAACATTAGGTCCTTGAAGACGCTATATCAGACCACGTGAGTTTTGGACGGGATACTTAAGTCGCACGTCATAAAGCATCGGACGCGTACTACCAAGGCCTTCTCATTTACCGACGTTAGCCCTCAAACAGGGACCTATTGAGCCCAAACATTCCTCCAGCTCTTGACACACTTTGTTAACAATCCACTACCGACTACGTCGAACCCTTCACTGATCACTTTGCTTCTCTGCTCAGTCAGATATGTATCGAAGACAAGACCCCTCCGCCCCGGGTTGTCATTATCATACTTTTCGGCAAAGAAATCCAGGAGCTTGACTGTCGGATTGGTCTTAGGATCCTGGTCACCGTCCCGTAGCCTCTGCACCCACTCTCGCTGGCCGACGATCTCGAAGACAAGACCCGCAGAAGACAGCGCAGGTAGCACATCCTCGGTCCAGCGTCTCGTTGTCGGGTTCTGCACGTGGTAAACGACGTCAGGTCCGTCTCTGCGTTCAAAGTATCCATCAATTTTGGACCCCGGTTCTGCCATTCCAGCGAGCTCTAGCACTGCCCGTGCAGAGAGATCGATCGGCAACCAGGAAGGTGTCTCGTCAAGCGCTGGAAGAGCGCCGATGGTAACAGCAGCCCGGAACATCAGTGGGATAGCTTCAGTTGCGTTCCAATTGCCCTGGACTGAGTCGCCCACAATCTGACCGGAACGCAGAACGCGCGCCTCCATGCCGGTACTCACTGCCGCAGCCTTGACTATGTGTTCAGCGACCCATTTGCTCCGTGCATAGCCCATATTCTGAGCATGCGCGGGATCCTTCACCAGCGTCTCGGCGATGCGAGCAGGGGAGGGGGTGCCAGCGGCAGCGGATATGGAAGAAATGAATGCCAGGCGGGCAGGCCGGGCGAACGGGACCGACAAGCAGAGATCGAGGAGGTGGCGGAGACCAGCGATGTGCTGGGCTTCAAAACTGCGAACGGAAAGAGTGAAGTTGACCGCCCATGCGGAGTGAATGACTGACGTGACCAGCGAGGTCAGTGCTGCAAAGACTGTAGAACCGAGACCAAGATCGGCACGGCTTAGGTCTGAAGGAAGGGCTGTGAACTTTGCAGACGCATGGCTGGAAGAGAGGCCAGACTTAACCAGAGACGAGATGATGCGACCGTGGGCGGAACTGTGGTGAGGAGAGAGGCCACGGTCGGCCAGTGACTGGAGAACGCGCTCCTGTGCCGCCTCAGGCGATGGAGCACGGACGAGGCAGTAGACATGTCGTATGTGCGGCATGGATAACAGCTGGGACAGGACATGAGCCCCAAGAGAGCCAGTGGCACCTGTTAAGACCTGAGTATACCAAGTTAGTTGAAACCATACGCACACATACATGACAGGTGTTTACTTACAACAACCTCGCCGTCTGGCACTTGGGTGCCGGGTTTGAATTGCGCGAAAGTCGAGTACTTAGCAACGAGCTCGCGCATGATATCCTCCTCGGTTACCGACTCGAGCGGTGAACCTTTCCGGAGTGAATCCAGGTACGCAGCCAGCTGAGTGATGCTTGGATGTTCGAAGGCAACATTCTGACCGAGAACGTTGCCAGCCAGGTCAAGCTCGCGCATTATGTGCGCCCGAGCGGTGATAGCCTGCAGCGAATCCATACCAGCTGCGAAGAAGTCCGTGTTTGCAGATAGACCCTGGACGCCGACGCACTCTGAGAGGAGCTTGGCCAGGTACTCCTCCAGTGCAGGGATCTCGAGCGCCAAGCGGTCTGCCTTGCCTGGTGATTCGAATCCCTTGTATACATTGTCGATGGTAGTCGCGAAGTGGTTATAGCTCGCGGCGCGGATGACTGTGCCCTTGTCGGTGCGTGGGTACTCGGTGCCATACGGCAGGATTTTTACCATCTCGCGAGATACGCGACCGAACAGTTCAGTGCGCTCGTTGGCGTTCTGAATATCGGGCCACAGCTTGTCCGACAGGTCGGCCGAGTCAAAGCCAGCGGCGTGCTCGCTTGGAATGATGAGGAGACCAGGAAAGGCTCGACCAACACCAAACACCAGGCAGTCTTGAACCAACTCATTCTGGCGCACACGGTGTTCGAACGGGACAGGGAGGACTTTCTCGCCATTCATAAGCGTGACGCGATCATCCAAACGCCCAAGGTACTTCCACGCGTCGGGGATTGAAGGATGAGGCATGAACGTGTCGCGAGTTCGGAACGAAGATGGTGGATCATCGCAGTTGGACATGACCTTGGAGGGGAGGCCATCGAGAACAATAAGCTCATAGATGCCTTCACCGATAAGGTCGAATTGGAGGAACGGCCTTGTGTTGGCAAGCGGCCGGACATAGTTCCAAGCCTTATCTTGCGTAGAATCTCGCTGGGATGTCATGAGCTGACCCATCTCGGTTCTAACATGGTCAGCCACATCCTTGATCAAAAGGCCTACTTTATACTTACGCGCCGTAGTGAGACACGATATTGACACCTTCCTGGGCCAGCATGTCCCCCAGGTCATCCGGGCAGCTGCTGCCACCAAAAAGCACCAGCTTGGCACTGCGGAGCGCACTAACTCCAGCGCTGGTTTCTGCAAGAACTTTCAGTGCGTACGGGACACAGTGGAAGCTTTCGAACTCGGCCGTGCGCATGGCTTCGACAAGGTTCCCATTCGTCAAGGGCAGATTGGCGTTGTAGAGCGCGGTACGCTTGCCGGTCACCATGCCGCGGAACATGGTGGAGAGTCCGTGGTTATGAAAGAGTGGCAACGTGACAAACGCACGGAACCCACTGCCAGTCGCGTAGTTGCTGAGACATGCTCTGTGCGTCTGGAAGATTGGTTTCGGCAGGCCTGTGCTTCCGGAGGAGTGAACGATGAAGGCAACGCAATCTTCCTCGTTGATAACCTCTGTCTGCCTTTGGAAACGAGCCGTGGGAAGCGGCTGGCGTGTGTATGTAGAATGATCCAAAAGAGGGAAAGCTTGAAGGGGATAGGTAGCTTGAATTTTGGCCACTGTTGAGCTGAACCTGTACGTGGCTAGAACCCGCGTGCATTTTGTCTTCTCGAGGAGAGAGATGTAAGCTTCAGGAGGCAGGCGATTGGACAAAAAGAGAACAGAAAAGCCCATCCGTGACAAAGCTAGAATTGATACAACGTAGTCAAGGTTTGAGAGTCCCAGCAGGGCGACAACCTCGGTCTCGCTGCTCTTGTTTTCCTATGGGTATTAGTATCACTCTGCACATTTTAATGAGGTGGGTTGACTTTACAGTAGGGCGTAGACCCAAGGCTGTGAGCTCTTTGGCCGCTTCATCAGCAAATCTGTCAAGGTCTTTCGCTGTGTAGTCTGCCCAATCGCTGCATCCCTGCTCCGATCTTGGATATGCAATAAGGGGTGTGTCGGGAATGCTATGCGCTTGGTGAAGAATGAAATCGTTGATGCTGTTGATTTTGTCCGGTTTCGAGCCCGCGGCCGGCTGCGTAGCGTTGGGTCCCTCCAGACCTGGAGTGAGGCCCACGAGAGGAGCTGTGATGGCTGTCATTGCGAAGATGTGAAGTGCCACAATAGCAATGGAAACAGACGACTGAGTGAAATGAGCACAAGATTCGATCAATGGGACTGATTTCAATGAAACCATTGCTTTACTATAGACTGGTCAATAGCGCTTATTTGCAATGCCTGCCATTTCGCCTGCAGGAGGTCGGATCTGCTCGCCGCTTACGTGATCTCCGGCCGAAACTTGGAAAACTCCCGTCTCGGAAAAGGGGACGGAAAAGAATCAAGGGGCGTGGCGGGTGGTAGGCTTGTCTGTTCTAACGCTCCTCGCATCGGAAAAGCATGGAGACTTGTTCCGTTTTGCAGCTAGCTCGTAAGGCTCGGAGTTTAGTACGCACGTGAACAAACTGTGTGAGCGCGTGCATCTAGGCAAGACAGATCAAACTCCTCAAACCTACATTCCATTAGCGTGACATTTGATATCTAGGCATTAGACGGAAGATAAACTTCGCATCTCGAGCGTTCCTGTCGTGCGGTAGTTATTAGCCTACCCTGCGGCCCATCCTGTACAACAGCGACAGTGATAGCAGATTGGTCTGTTTATATCCCATGCCTTCGCATTATTGACCAAACCCCTCGGTCAACGACAGATCCCATCCCTCCATGGCCCCCTCTGCGAGGAAAGCATCCATGCCGACGCCTCCAGTAACCTATTGATCAAGAATCAGCAATCGAGCTCTCTAGATATACATAGGAACCAAAGAGGGTTTTTTTTTACTCACTAGCGAATCGAATTGGCCCCAGCCTGTCATCTGCACGATAGAGCTGCCTGGGCTGGCGTCAGGGAACCCATGACTATCTTCCTGGCCAATGCCGAGCTGACCGCCAGCGTTCGGCGCCTCTGTCCCTGTCGCAAAACCTAAATTGTTGGCCCCAAGTGCTAGCAGATCCGCGCTTTCAAACTGGCCCAGTATGGACTCGTCAGCCTCGAGAAGCAGATCGGAAGCGCCGTTGCCGTTCTTCTGCCCGACCACAAGGTTCAGGAGGTGGCTGTTCAGCCGCAGCAGCTCGAGACGGAGCTCTTGCAGAACCACGCCGTACCTCTGGGCCAGCGACCCCGGCGTTGCAATAGACGTGGTCTGGTGCTGGCACTTTGTCGCAGCGCGAAAGATCGGAAGGTAGGTGTCGAGCGGCGAGTTGCGCTGTTGGATCGACCATACGTAGAGCATGACAATTGCACAGAACGCAAAATAGTTTGTGAACTATCGCAGGGACACTTCGTTAGCTTGGGTTCATTTGATCTCCATACAAGACAACATATACTCACCCAAAATGTATTATAAAGCTGTCCATTCACGTTCAGATTGTCCACCAGCCCCACGATGTTCATAGCTGCTTCCAAGCACCGCTGAACATGCTCATCCGTGAGTTTTGAGTTCTTGTTTCTGTCCATTTTCGTCTTCTTATTGCGAGTTGACCCGAGGTTCGCAAGACTGGCAAAGTTATTGAGGAGGAAAGGCCGATGAACCAGAATCTGCGCGTGCCAACATGCCATGTTTAACACGTTTCGCTGGCGGAGAAAGATGGGCTGGAATAGTCCGGGGTCGACGCCATCAGTGTCCAGCAAGTACGTCAAGCCACTGCGCCATGTGTCAATATCTTTTGAGTATCTGGCCGCTAGCTTGAGCTGGCTATCCGTGGACGGTGGGCGGATGTTGTAGAGATCGCGCAGGACGTTTGCCACAATGCGGGAAAGTCTAGCGGTGTCAGCCGGTAGTCTAAGGAGCATTACTACGACACAAGGCTCACCTCATATGAGCCACAGGCCCTGACATGACCGACTGGAGGTTGTTTGTTGGAGCTGCACTCACGTGGCCACGTGAGAGCCTGTAATCGTCAACGCAAAGTGGCAGTTCCTGCAATATGTAAGCTCCCATCTGCACGCGGCAGAGTGTGAAGTACGTGTTTACCTGATCTATATCATCATCGTGGAAGGTTCGCGGTCGACCGAGCGCGGCGCTCAGATAGGTGTCCAGGTTGTAGGCACACCAGAAAGTCCGCTTGCGGCACTCCAGGTCGATGTAGTCGGGATTGCTGCTGCTGTCGACACGGTACTTTCTGTGGATGCCAAGCGCAAGCATCAAGTGTGCAGTGGTTCCGAACAGGCTCCAGCAGTGGTTCAGTCGAGAATGGGAAAGTAAGTAGATGCATTGCGCGAGCCGCGCCTGTACGCTTGTCAGACGAATGATGCCTTTTTCGGCGGCCAGCTGGTCCTCGGCCGCATAGAAGAACCGAGCACTGAAGAATGTGAGCGTCGAAGTTGTGTCGAGTACATGTTTTCAGGGTGATTTGACTCACCTCGACGTTGGGTCGACGGTGCCGGCCTTGGACTTTGGATAATTTTCGGCGCAGGCAAGCACCATGAATAGCAGCGCAGTCTTGCTTCTGGCTACTGCCTGGTCTCGCATCGAGCCATTTGTCTCGTACAGCTCTTGAAGCCACATCTCCACTGTCGGGCGATGCAGGAAGCGATGTGTTGCCGACGCAAACTCAAAGTACCTGCATAGGAGGCTCTCTGCCTCCGAACGTGGGGGTAAGATGAGAAACCGTGGATCAGACTCGGGCAGAGGTAAATCGCCAAAGGTAAAGATAGATGCATCCGAAGACACCAATGACTGCCTCTGCAGCTTTCTCTGTATCCTGAGGAGGAAAGATGCGCCAGATGCCGGGCCGACATAGTGGCCTTGACGATCAATCTGAGCTGGTTCGGGGGAGTTGCGCGATGACTGCGCTGTGGAGACTCCGCGCTCGTCAACTGGAGGAGCCAGGGTGCGGTTGCCGATGGATATGGGACTAGGCATATGCTCTGCCTGATGGTGTGGGTGGGCAGGATGATCAGTAGAGGAACGACGCTGTTGTCCAGAGGGCCTGAGACTCGCAGGGTCAGTGGAGACATTGACCAAGATTTCGGATTCCATCTCAATGGAAGGAAGACGGCCGCGTCGATAAGATGCCGTGTACTTGCACTCTAGTCGCAGTCGAGAACAGAGGGAACAAGGATATTTGCCCGAGCACCGAGTCTTCCGACTTGTGTAGAATTGTTAGTTAGCTGACCACAACAAACAAGTTCAGTGAGAGTGGAGATGTGCAATGAGGACGTGGATGGGCAATATGCCCCCAGTATTCCACGGATAAGCTTGGCAAATTTTGACAATCTTCACAGCCGGGCACACCGGGCAAAAAAACCAGGCTGTGGTGAAAAGACTTACGCCTTGCAACGGTCACAGGCCCTGCTAGCACGGCTTCTCACATGGGGTGGCTTGCGCTGCTTCGATGGATGTGTGTCTGAGTCCTCGGGATCGGATTGGTCGTGTTCGTGACTATGGTTGCAAACACTATCACGGGGACGCAAGCTCGGGTCATGGTTGGCGAGGCTTGTCCGACGGCGGTTGTCCATGGCGATCCCAACAAGCCGCGCGAAAGACGTGTTGGCCGTAACACTGGAGTCGATGGGCCGCAGACCGCCGTTCTTCTTAACGGAGAAGGACTTTGGGAGCGGCAACTGCCTGTGATTTGTTGACCTGCGTTCCGTGCAGAACAACCAGTCGGGAGGAGCCACAACGATGGCCGACGTTGGAAGCTGGGGGCTCAGGACTAAGGATTTCATGACTGCTGCGCTCCGGGGAAATGAAATGCGGGGGGGTCACGTGTGGGGTTTTCCGATGTGGGCCAAGGAAGTCACCACGTGCCCTATGTTTGTCGACTGGTCACTGAACGGAAGGAGAGATACATGATAGAGGCTAGTGGTGCTGTGGCTAAAGTGCATACTGGTACTGATTCAAACCCGTCGTGTTGCTGAGACGTCTCAGTTCTCGATCCTGCGCTGATCACCACTCTCGAAGCTCCCCGCCTGGTCCTACAAACCCTGGACTCACCCACGGCTCGGCGCCTTGACTTAGCGATCGAATTTTCTCCTCGTCTATATCGATGCCAAGTCCCGGACCGGTCATAAGGGGGACATACCCGTCTTTTACCGCCCAGACCTCTGGATTCTTGATATATGTGAGTAAATCATGGCCCCCTGTGTTGTAGTGAATACCAAGGCTCATTTCCTGGATCACAAAATTGGGTGTTGCTGCGTCGACTTGTATGTTTGCGGCGAGAGCAATCGGTCCTAGCGGGCAGTGAGGGGCGATTGCCACATCATAGGCCTCGGCCATGGCTGCGATGCGCCGAAGCTCTGAGATTCCGCCCACGTGGGATATGTCAGGCTGTAGTATATCCACACACGCCGCCTCGAGGTAAGGCTTCACGTCCCATCGGCTATGCAGCCGCTCACCTAGGGCGACAGGTGTTGTTGTAGACTGCGAGAACGCCTTGATGCCTTCGATGTGCTCTGATAATAACGGTTCCTCGATGAACAATGGTCGACATGGCGCCAAGAGAGCCGCCAGCTGCTTCGCCATAGGTCGATGGACTCGCCCGTGGAAGTCAACGCCGGCATCCATGCCGGTGGCCTTGACTATCTTGACACGCTCGACACAGGCATCAAGTGCTGAAGGCGAGTCTAACCACCCGAGGTCTTCCGTCCCGTTCATTTTGACGCAAGTAAACCCCTGGGATTTGCGCGAAAGACTGCAGCCGTCAGTGGTGCCTTGTCGTTGGTTCAACACAAAGGACTCACGCTTGCGATTCAACATCAGAGGGCCGATCACCACCAATCCAAGCATATACTTTGATCATGTCCCTGACTTTTCCGCCTAGCAGCTGGTAAATGGGGAGGCCCAGCTTCCTTGCTATGCATCATATTAGTCTGCTAGTGCCCATGGAGGAAGCGAGGCTCCGCACTCACCTTTAAGGTCCCAGAGAGCAATATCGAGACCAGCCAAGGCACTCATGAACACCGGACCGCCTCTGTAAAATCCCATGCGCCATGACTTTTGCCAGATCTTTTCAATTTCACTGTCTTTATTAGCGGTGCAGCTACGCAATAGTGCTAGGGCGGTACTCACTCGGCCTCCATTCCGGTGTACTGCGCGATGTATGCATCGAGACAACCTTCTACAGCTTGGGTGTGGCCTTCCAGTGACGCCTCGCCCCAACCAGTATTCCCCAGGTCGTCCGTGATCTTAACAAAAAGCCAGCGCGGCGGCACCCGGAAATACTCGATGCTCGCGATCTTTCCCATTGTTACATCTAAGATTCAGTTGAAGATCCAGGGTGTCGTTGTCACTGGGAAAGCATTCATTGGAGTTCGATCCTCGCTTCACTCGAAGTTCTTCGTTTTGTATGATGAGTGATCCGACGAGGTGAAGCCGAGCGACATCCGATGACTCGACCAGGTTTGTCGGAACACGTCGGCCGGCCGGAAAACTGCGCATGCATGCGGGGTCAGGGGGTTTCGGACGTGGCGATGATGTCTAGGCTGCGCAAAATGCAAATGACCGGGAAAAGATTCGGCAATCATCTTGTGACGAGGCAGCTTCGGTTCCGTTGTTCAGGTCGGGAATCTTGGGGGAGTATCCGTGATGCTCGGGACGCGATGCGTTTCCATGAGACAGTCGATGTAGTACAAGGTGGACACTATTGACCTGGAGACCCGCCAGGACTATTCCTAGACCTGCGAAGGCTAGTTCTGAATCGTCGGTCTGGCAATGCTTACAACTCGGACCAAGCCGTCATTACGAGGACTCTTGATCACTGTCATAATTTCCCAGCTTCTCAAGACGGAGATCCAATGATCAGCCCGATATCTTTGTCTTTATTAAAACTCAGGCCGCGCGACCGAAGCTATGCCTCGTCGCGTACAATGAATTCGTGCCTGGTTGTTCATACAATGAGACTGCTGCGTAATACACCTTCAAGTCTAGATAGTGCTCATCCAGTGCCTTCACATCCTAGCTCTCTTCATGGTGTAGAATTGGTCTGATCGTTGGGAGAACATGCGAATACTCAATTTGCCCATGTCATGGTGCGCTATTTCAAGGCCTTCTGGGCCGCGATCCAGTCCGCTCGGGCTTTTTTCAGGAATGCTTCATTGTGCTCTCCAAACACGTCAACGCCTAGACGGGCAGGCATATTGTACCTGTGGTTCTTATCCAACTGGTTAATACGCTCCATAGCAGACTCTGGTAGCTCAAACTGCTGGAAGTTTTCCTCGATGCGGCTCGGCGTTACCGACTTGGGGAGAACCACAGTGCCACGCTGAATGGCCCACTGGATGAGAACCTGAGCAGGCTGGCGGCCGATCTCTTTGGCAATGGCCACAACCTCCGGGTCATCCAGTGCCTTTGGCAGGTTATAGATATTGTTCCCTGAGGGGCTGTAGGCGGTGATCAGAATTCCCTGTTGTTTGGACCACTCAAGAAGCTCTGGTTGCTGTAGATAAGGATGGGCCTCGATTTGATTGACAGTCGGTTTGATCTCGGCGCTGGAAAAGATCAGCTATTGTTTCTCTGGGCGTGTACTCTCAGAACTTACATTTTGAGGAGCTCCTCCATCCTGGTCTTGTTAAAATTGCTCACCCCAATGCTCCTTATCTTCCCTTTCTTGACGAGGGCCTCCATCGCTCTCCAAGTCTCAGAAATAGGCACCTCAATGACCTCGACTCCACCATCAGCACCCAGCGGGAACCGCAGACTCTTCTCCGCCGGTTTGGGGAAGGAGATGGGCCAGTGGATGAGGTATAGGTCAACGTAGTCAGTGTCGAGGTCGGCAAGAGACTGATCAAGAGCCTCCTCTACATCCTCCGCCTTGTGGTGCGTATTCCATAGTTTTGAGGTCAGGAAAATATCATTGCGAGGAATGCCCGAGGCTTTAATGCCTGCGCCCACTTCCTCCTCGTTACCATAGACTGCTGCGGCGTCAATATGCCGATACCCATGCCGCAACGCATGCTCAACTGCGCGGGCGACCTCAGTCGGGCGCGATTGCTGCCAATGTGAATATTGTGCATTTTATCTCTCGGTCACGTCTCGACTCACCCAAGTGCCTAGACCGATCGCGGGGATCGAGTGTCCCGAGTTCAGCTGAAAGGAGCGTCCGGAGGGCATGGCCAAATAAAGAGCAGGGGAGAAGATACAGGGATTACACAATGTGCTTCAATTTTCGTGTAAATAAAGATCTTGGATGAGCAGTGATTTAAACCCCGGGGCGAGATTGTGAGGTGATCGTCAATGACAAGGTCTTGACTTCCATTATCCGAAGTCCTTTTCCGATGGAGGACCCGGGGGTCAAAGCGAGTGCCCGTTCCGCCCTAGCGCCGAATGCCGGGACTCGGGACCCGGGAGTCTCCGCCTTACATCTCCGACGTCGGCATGCCGTGAGTCCGCGACCCGTGTTCAGTTCTGGGTACCCTATACTCCCATCATCATTCAAATATCAAGTCTCATTTCCACATTGCAATCAGTCCGTTACTTACGCACCATGTTTGAATTGAATGCACGAGCGTATGTTTCCCAATAACTTTCACTCCCGAGTCCCGCCTCCCCATCTACTCCCTTATTAAATCAACCGCAAGATGAGCAACATGGTACCTCCGGATGGCGTTTTTGTGCCTGTGCCAACTTTCTTCAAATCGAAACATAATTCCTCCAGCTTGCAACCGCCCGTCGACATCGCTCAACAGGTCGCCCACAGTGTTCATCTCGCCAAGTCCGGTATCGCAGGGCTGGTGTTGATGGGTTCAACTGGCGAGGCCATTCACATGTCCCGATATGAGCGTGTAGAGCTGATATCGGGTGTCCGTCAGGGTCTCGACGAAGCAGGCTACCATGAATATCCTATCATGGCTGGGGTACTCGTCAATAGCGTGGATGAGACTCTCGAATGGTTACGCGACTCAGCCGAGGCGGGCGCCCAATGGGGCTTAGTACTCGCGCCGGGCTACTTTGGAGCTGCTGCGAGCCAAGATAACCTCGTTGAGTGGTTTACTATGGTTGCCGAGAACAGCCCCCTCCCGATTTTGATGTTGGTTACTCGGACACTAGCTTGCCCTGCCAAGATCGCTAACATAGTCAGATACAACTACCCGGGCGTGACCAACAACCTGGTCGTCGCCGTAGAGACATATGTGAAGTTGGCCTCGCACCCCAATATTGTGGGGTGTAAAATGTAAGATTGCTTAGAAATCGAATGGACAAGATGACTTACTCACTCGGTTCTAGGTCTCACGGTAACGTGTCGCACCACGTCCAGGTATCACTTCACCCTACGATTGATCACAAAAGCTTTCGCGTCTACTCTGGCTTCGGGCAGCAGCTCGGCCCAATTGTTATGTTCAATGCCGCTGGGGTGATTGATGGCCTCGCTGCTATCTTTCCCAAGACCATCGTGCAACTATTCAATCTAGCGGCCCAGCGACCCGCCGACGAGAAGGCCCAAGAGGAGGTCCGCCGCCTGCAGTGGAAAGTTTCGTCAGCGGAGGAATTCATCGTCAAGAACGGCATCTTGGGCATTCGTGAGGCCATCTTCAAGGTTTTGGGTATGGGTCATCTGGACGGCGGCAGGCTCCCTTTGAAAGGCAGCTTGCCACCAGGCGTCTGGGAGCAATGGAGCGACGCTTTGGGACAAATGGTGGATCAAGAGAACAGTCTGTAGTCGACAAACCCAAGATATAATCAAATGCGGCAGGTCGCTGGCTCGGGCTTTATAATAGACGAAGTATAGACCAGCGCAATCAATCATGGCTTTTCCATGCATAGTCAAGATTAGACATGTTTCCTGTCTGTCCTGCCTTACAATGAGCCCCAATATCTGTCCTCAGTCTGCGACGGCTGCTGATTTTCGGTAGGTGCTTATTATTCCATGATTCTGCTATAGAAGAACGGAGCCTACGAGAAGTTTCCGCAAGTAGATGGCCTCGCTTGGATGATTGTGAGAAGTTAGTATCGCCCAATTCTTCTAAAAAATATTGCCTTCTAGGATTCGAAGCTAGATAAACGAAAGTTGTGTTTGAAAGCAGAGCACAGCATAGTTTTCTTTCAAGTGACTAACCGCGTATCAAAGTGCCGACTTGGCAATGCCCTCAACAATCGCGACAACGCCTTCAGCGCCAGGGTCCGGCACCTTGTCCCAGTTCTCGCCAGCTACATATACCGCCCTGCCGAGACTGGCCTTCATTCCTTTCGTGCTATCACGGCCCTTCCTCGCTGCATCTACTGCCTTTTGTAGGTCACCCTCCTTTTGCAGGACCTCGATGAAGGGAATGAGAGCATCCATGAGGGTACGATCTCCTACTCTCGCCGGTGTCATGGCCTGAAGTCTTTGTAGCGCACTGTTGGCCGCCTCGGCCCAGACATCCACGCTTATGACGTCGACAGATGAGCTTTGCAGGGCCGTGGCCAAGGCAGTAAAGAACAGTTCGTACAATGCGCCTGATGTGCCGTCCATGCTCTCCTCAATTGCGTGCGCGATCGCCATGACAGCACCGCCAGCAGTGGTGGTCTCTTTGACGGGAGTATCGGCCAGAACCTTGAGTACAGCATGGGCCCCTCGGGAAAGTGTGGCTCCGCAGTCGCCGTCTCCGACAATGCGGTCATCGAAGGTTATTTGAGGCTCGGCAGCGAGGAGGGCCTGACATGCTTGGATGACTGATGAGTTGAAGGCAACGGCAATTACTACAGGTGTCTGTTTAGCTTGTCTCTATTTGGATACGATTGCTCTCACTTACGTTTGGGACCCGGCGTTTTCAGATTCGTGTCTGATGACTTCGCAGTGGTGGTTGTAACGACGCGCTTGCCCGTGTAGGGTTTGAATGCCGAGTATGTCTGAAGCCATCCAATTGCCGTTGTGGGAGAGTCAAGGCTTGCGATCATCTCATCAGTGGCTTTCAGAATAGTAACACTGAAGCCACAGGCGTCCAGGCTCGTCATCAACGTGCCGGACAGCACCCGAGTTGGCTTCAGACCCCGGGAGTCTAAGGAATATTTGTGAGACAAAGTCAGCACAGAACGGATGAATTGACTTACCCAGCTTCAGAACAGTATGGTGTGTGATTGCGCTCATCTCAAGTTGGGACGTGCCTCCGAGGTTGTTCACAAGAAGAACAGAGTTCTCCCTGTCATCAAAGTTGACAAAGCCACGGTCAGCGTCATTAGCCTTGAGTAGCAGGTCGAGCATGCTGTCCAATAGGCTTTCAAGACTGGGTTTTACGTCAAGAACCTGGCAACCAGGCTCATTGTGAATTCCCATGCCCAGCTCAACCTTGGCGTTCGCGGCGCCCTGGTCCGCGGTAGTACCCGGGATGTGGACGTGCCCTTGGGAGACGCCACAGGTCACCAAGCCATCGACAATCTGCTTTCCAACACTCAGGATCTCGTCTATGGACTTCCCCTGAGCAGAAATAGCACCGAGAACCTTGTGAACGAGGATTGTGCCGGCCAATCCACGTCTGCCGACCTTGCCGCTGCGCTCGCGCCCCACAGCCACATCATCGCCAACTACCAGGACCTCGACTCGGTACCCCCATTGGGCTCGAGCCTTTTCGGCAGCCAGATGGAAATGAAAGATGTCACCAGTGTAATTCTTGACGATCAGTATGGTTCCAGCGCTGCCGCCAACCGTCCGAATAGCTTCGACAATCTGAGAAACGGATGGCGAGGCAAAGATGTTGCCCGAAACTGCGGCGCTCAGCATGCCCTGGCCGACAAACGCTGCGTGAGCGGGTTCGTGGCCAGCACCTCCCCCGGAGATGAGGCTGACGTGCTTGGATGGGTCATGGTGCGCATACGAGATGGCTAAGTTGTGTTAGCACTGTTATGAGCGGATGCACTGAGTGGTGAGATTGTTCCGTGCGTACTCTTTATCGTCTCGTGGAAGATGAGCTCAGGACTAATGTCGACTAGCCCCTGCAAGCTATCAGTGACCAGGGACTGGCCGTCGCTGAAGAAGGTGGTATCCGCCATGGTATGGGAGTATGCTATGGTTTGCCGCACACCCACGCGACGCTGAGTCCTGCAGGCTCCCTCATACATGTAGCTATAAGCTCAGGCTCGACAACGGACCGGATGCCTACCCGAATGTTCTTGATGTTGGAGCACTGAATTCCTGCTTTTCCCCGCTGCCGTGAGGCTTCAGAGAAGACTAAGAGGCCGGAAACGTTGATGATGGCGCAGAAGTAGGGGGAACAACGGATTTCCGACGTTGGCGTCAGATTGTCGGAAAAGCCCTTGACCCCTATTTCGAGTCATTCATGCAGGCTGCTCCGCATAATCACAAACTTGCTTTTCCGAAGTTAGTGTCACGCGGCTCACACCAGCCCAGACACGCCAATCTTGGGATTCCCGGCCACTAAAGCCATGGGTCTGATTGGTTTAGCGGTTATCGCGTAGCCGGTCAGGCCCAGACTCCAGGAGTCCAATGGCCCCAGCCCCGCCCTCTGCGCTAGACGAGCCCCTCCCCCATACTCTGTCCCCCAGTTTCCCCGCAAACTTCTATGGCCGGAAAAGGATGTTGCCCAACTTGTCATACTGTTGGCTGTTTTGACGCGGTTCTTATCTTGGAATCAGTTGGGCAGATGTGGCATATTACGTCTGTCGAGATGCAACTATAAAGCCATCGAAACCTTGGTCCGTCTCCAGAGGTGAGCTTCAGAGCCATCAGCTGTCGGTCAACGCCCACAGCACAATCAACCGCATCGACAAGCCTGAGCAAACAACCAGACTTACTTTTCACAATGTCAGCTCAAGTGCCGCCAACGGGAAGCGTCCCAGCTCCTAGTGTCAGGGACGACAAGCACTCCATCGCTCATGTAGAGGCATCCAACGACGACGGCGTGTGGAAGCACAACGGGCACGCCGAGGCCGTGGATCAGTTCGGCGCACACAAGAAGACCGACCCCAAGGAAATTGCTCTCGTGAAGAAGCTGGATCGCTACATGCTGGTACATTCCCTAAAGTGCTTCTTCGGGAACTGCGCAACTGACAGCCACAGCCGATTCTTTGGCTTATGTACTTCTTCAACTTTGTAAGTGTTACCCATACTCAGGACCACTCCCGAATTACTGCCCTTCTCCCACGTCCCCTTCTTGGAAGACTTATTACCTGAGCTTCCGAGTCCCTTGTCTATGAGATGCTTAGGTTTTGTTAACAAAACTCCACAGCTGGATCGCAACGCCATGATCAATGGACGGTTGAATAACCTCGAGACCGACCTGGGCCTTGTTGGGTCGCAGTACAACACCTGTGTTTCCATCCTTTTCGTCGGGTAGGTTGAGAAAGAGCCAGGACTTTGGCAGCCCAAATTACTGACAGCTCAAGCTATCTGTGCGGTCAGATCCCCTCTAACATGATTCTTAATCGCGTTCGCCCGTCGTGGTACATGTCTGGTGAGTGTTCTTAGTTCTCCGGGACACGAACTGTGAATTAACATGCACCCCAGGCTTCTGCATGGCCTGGTCTATCATCAGTCTCCTTACTTACAAGGCGCACGACTTTCGCACCATGCTCGTCTGTCGTTTTTTTCTTGGGATCACAGAGGCACCTGTAAGTGCTGATTCGGTTTTTTTTTTTTTTTTTTTTTTGGTATTTATCTGGCAAAGACTCACGTTTATCTCACGTAGTTCTACCCGGGGGCTCTGTACATGATCAGCATGTTTTACACGCGTAAGGAAGTCGCCACCCGTATGGCCATTTTCTACACCGGCAACATGCTTGCCAGTTCGTTTTCCGGTCTCATCGCTGCTGGTATCTTCAAAGGTCTTGATCACAAGATGGGTCTGGCCGGCTGGCAATGGTATGTTGTGCTGTTGTAACACTATCTACCTACATACGTTGCTGACTTCACTGCAACAGGCTCTTCGTTGTTCAGGGTGCAGTCTCAATCCTAGTCTCCGTCATTGCATTCTTTACTTTACCTGACAGTCCATTGAAGACCAGATGGCTGAACCAGGAGGAGCGTGAGCTTGCCCACGCTCGAATCTTTACCGATCAAACCGGCCGCAGAGAAGGCACCAGTGTTTGGACGGGCCTCCGCGAAGCCACTTCAGACTGGCGCGTATGGGTGTTCTGCCTCATGGACAACTTCCATTTATCCGCCAATGGTTTCAAGGTAAGTTCCTGTTTCCGTTGCGCGTGGAAAGGAGTATCTCCAAACTGACAGCTTCTTCACAGAACTTCCTCCCTACTGTTATCGAAACGCTTGGCTATGGCAGGACTGCCACCCTGGCCCTCACATGTCCTCCCTACCTCTTTGCGGGCGGTGTGAGCATCGCTGTTTCCTGGTCCTCAGGCCGCTTCAACGAACGCACATGGCACGCCACCATTAGCAAGTTGGTTGCGATCGCTGGCTTTGCGCTGTCTGTGGCGACTTTGAACGTCCCTGCACGCTTCGTAGGCATCATGCTCTTTGTCGGAGCTACTTACGGCGTGAACAATATCATCCTCGGCTGGACAGCAAGTGTGGTGGGACAAACAGACGAAAAGAAGGCCGTGGCAATTGCTATGGCTAACACTCTAGGGAACCTCGCCAGTGTGTATACACCTTACCTCTGGCCGAGCTCTGATGAGCCACGCTACCTCACAGCGATGCTGGCAAGTATTGCCTTCTCTCTCGGAGTCATTGCCTGCGCATGGGTTATGAGATTCTCGCTGCAGTATCAAAACAGGAAGCTAAAGGAACGCGACCCAAACGCAACAAATTTCTATGTATACTGAATGAGGGTTCTCACATTTTTTTCCCTCTGTACTCGGGCCAGAGGGATCTCATTGAATAGCACCAGTTCGCTATTTTCCACACTTGAATATGAGTATCTTATGGGTTGCAATGCCTGTGAGAGTCGCAGACAAGAAAGCGCTGTTTGATTATACAGGATCAAGCTAGATACAAATATGCATTGCTCACGATGGGAGTCTGCGGACATTGTCCCGTGCATTGACGGGTTCGGATTAACCCCATAAGACGTGATTCTCCACCCCAAACGGATTTGTCCGCCGGAATCTTGTAACGATACGTTTAGGAGTCCCAGAACATGGCGCCAGAACATGGCGCGAGAACATGTCGTGTCAGTGTCAGAACCTGGGACAACTCGGAGCAGTAGCCCGGAAGACAGCAGTTGAGGAGTAGTTTCTATTGGCCGCGAAGGCCACTTGACCCACAATTAGCACGGATGGAGCCAAACCGACCTATTCGGGACCCCGGATCACTCCGTACGGTGTGCAACGGTGCGGGCCATGAGGTCTACAGACCACGAATTTGAGTGCTGCTCGTTGCTAGAAGACTCAGAGGCCATCCATAATTCTTTAAATTGAGGCCGCATTGCTTGCACGTTTAACATTCCAGAATGCATTTTAAATAAGCTGACGTTTAGCTGCTATATGATGCTAATATAAAAGCTCACTTTCTCCTCCACATTCTAACCTCCAAGCCCTCTTGTCTAGGGAACCAACTATTTATCACCTTCCACTCCTTGTCGGTAGCTAGCTCAAAATCATATAAGGTGATCAGAGTGGCCAGTACTTTGTAAGTTTGAAAAAGCCCCATGTATTTCCCCATACAAAGGCGACTTCCCGCACCAAATGACAAATCAGCCTTGTTCATGCGGGCCAAACGGACCTGAAACTCTTCTTCCGATTCACCTGCTTCCTCATCTCTGAGCCAACGCTCAGGCCGGAAGACATCAGCGTCCTCTCCGTAAAATTCCCTGTTCCGGTTGGTGATGTAAGGGTTCATGCCGACAACCGTGCCGTCGGGCAAGTAATCTCCATTAGGAAGGCTGCAGCCCCCGCGTGGAACATACCGTTCAAGCGTCATGACGACGCCAGGAAGAACCCTGAGGGCCTCGCGAACCACGGCGTCGACGTATGGTATCGCTCGGACTTCTTTGTATGGAGGAGGTAGCCTGCCACGGAAGCCGGCGGCCAGAACCTCGTCCGTCAACCGCTTCCAGACACGAGGATGTTTCAGCGAGTAGTATAGAGCGCTGCGGATTGTAATGGCAGTGGTGTCAGCGCCCGCAATCATATTGACCATGAGCCATGAGACAATCTGGGCGTCGTCGACATTATCCGGGTCTGCCTTTTTTGCTTCAATAAACTTGTCCAGGAAGTCAGGGGTGTCCTGGTCGTGGGTATCTTTGTCCTTGCCGGAGCTGCGGTCGATGAGATGCTGTACCGATATACCAGTGATGACGTTGAAGCCTGGTGGCCCCATCCGGTAGACGGGATTCTTGTCAAAGACGCGGTCTAAGAAAGGCATCGTGCCTACGATAGAGAAGTAATCCATGGCCTTGTCAGCGTTATGGAGCGTTCCGTTGAAATCTTCTCCCTTGTCTAGGTAGCCAATCGGTTCCGAGAAGGTCACTGCCCCTACAACGTCCCAAGTGTCTAAGTCTAGTCAGCCACTTGTCCGCAGCTAGATGAAGACAGCACAACGCACAGTAGAGGATCCACCTTCCGAGGTCGAAATCTTTGTGGCTGTTGGGCGAGTCGATGAACCTCTTCTCTAGCTCAAAGCATAGTTTATTGATAACTTTGTCCATGTGTGGCTCGAGCGCGGCGGTTGCAGATGGGGAGTAGTGCTTTGCGATAGGTTTGCGTTCTTTGGAGTGCTTGACTGGATCCGTCTGGCTGAATAGATTTAGGACGATTTTTCCATTGACGAGAGCGCTGCTGCCGTGGTAGAACTCGGTCTGTCGCCATAATGTTAGCCTTTAGACTAAGCTTAGACCGGATCATAAATTACCTTTGGCCAATCACCCTTTGTATTGTAGATTGTCTGGATCAGCTCGGGCATGTCAATGTCGATGATGTGTGGTGCAATTCGAACGATTGGGCCATGTTTTTCGTGAAGCTGCTTAAGTTTGCGGTGGGAATCGCCAGTAGACACCTGGCAGAGATACCAAAGCCTCGTCCATCCTGGTAAAGAGAGACTCAATTAGCCTTAGAAATAGAGTATTGAAATTTTGGGAACGTGAAGCATGGGACTTCCAGCCTGACACATACGGTGTCCTGGTTAGGAAGTAGACAAGCTAATCGGGAAATGGATTGCGCAGAAAGTGGCGACTGAGGAGGGAGAGAAGAAATCAACTACTCACGCGCGAGAATCGGTCCCGGATACTTCCTCAAAGGCGACGAGATATATGATGAGAGCGACCACAGGAAATAGGTTCCTAGAGGAAGCAGAAGACACGTGAACGCTGACAGCCCCGCGGGGAGAGACTGAGACAACCTATCCATGTCAATTCAGGTGAGATGTGACTCCGAATGTTCCACGATAATTGAATATCTGAACATCTGCGTCGAAAAAGATAGAAAAAAAAGAAGTGTTCAAGTCCAATGGGGGGAGGGAGGGGGAGGTGGTGGAACGAGCTCGCAACAGCTCTGTTATCTCTTTCCCCTCCACTCCCTGACCTTACTGGGGGATCCACGGAGACTGCCCCGCTCACGCCTGTCTTGAAAGCCGCATTGCGACTTGTTGGGCTAACAGTGTTCCTTTTGTGGTTTCCCTGCAAATGCAGACCATTTCCGTCCCACCCGCAGCTACCTTGCAGCGGTCAAGTCTGGGCGTTCAGGGGGCGGCGGCAGATGTTTGCTGTCGGCAATGCTGTGCTGATCACGATACATAGACTACACGCTTCCCTTCCTGCAAACTCTGGATTTATGTCCATATAGAATTAGAATCTATATCAAGGCTTGCCATCTACCACGATGGGTAGGCAACCGAAGAAGACATGTCGAAGGATCTGCTGACAGACAGGGTCTCATGCATACTGCCAGCCTATAGGAACAAACCGCGGTGTAGGGATGCAATAAGCGAACGTAATTGGCTGAAAATTGGCTGAACGCTGGCTGTCTTTCGCTAGAGGAACGTCTAGACTAGAGAATGCAAATATGACAGATCATACAAGGTCACACAGTCAGTGATTACTTGTAATCTCGCTGACCGAAACACGTCCCTTGTACGTACGTCTGGTCTTTAATGGGGCCCCGAAGAGTGATGTCGACAACAGGCGCCGCTTTGCTGAATAAGATAAATCTATATAATCAAGGCCTGAAGCAGCTGCATGATGTGTACCTGCCACACCTCCTGCTATTCATCAACACCTCCCTCACTATTGAAGACAGTCGCCACTAGAGTACAAATTCCGGCTATGGTGCCCCCTAGTCAGGGACCGATGGCGCTCATCGTCATGTGGACGCTGACGGCTGTCACACTGGTGTTTGTTCTTCTCCGCGTATATACTAGGCAATTCGTGATTCACATGTTTGGCGCCGATGACATTGCCTACATTATCGCTGGAGTACGTGATACGAACATACCTTCAGATCTCAAATACAGTTGGACTAACATCCTGGGTTATTTAGTTGTTTTTGCTGCTGTATACAGCGTTTCTCCAAGTGGCGCTCAATTTTGGCTTTGGTCAGTCGATCAGTGTGCTAGAGCTCGAGAACATTGCAATGGCCATTAAATGGGAAATGGTTGGGCAAACTTTCGCGGTCTTAGGCATGGCGATATCAAAGGTCTCACTCGGCCTCTTCCTGTTGAGATTTATGGTCGAGCAATGGCATAGGATCTTGATCTGGGCTGTCATTCTCAGCTTGTTTGGATGTTCGGTCCTTACCGCTGTGGTGTTTTGGATTCAATGTGTTCCTGTGGAGGCAATATACGACCCACGTGTGAGAACCCCGGAAGCCTGCAAGATCCCTATCACCCCATTTGCAGTGATGCTCGGAGGTGAGCTCTTTTCTGCCAGTCGACAGTTCACTCCATTGCAGAATATCTTTGCTGATCATGAGTCCCTCACGAACAGTCTGGTGTATCGTCGCGGATTTCTTCTTCGCCATTTTCCCAGCAATAGTGGTTTGGGGCCTGAACATGAAGAAGAAGGAGAAGATCATCATTGCTTCTAGCATGAGTCTTGGTATCTTGTATGTCATGGCTTCCCCTTTTTTTTTCTTTTTTTTTTTTTTTTTTTTTTTTGCCTAAAGACGAGCTGATTCTCACCAACTTCTCCTAGGGCCGGTGTCGCTGGCATTATCCGCACATACGAAGTGGCCGTCGGTTTTACAGCAAACTATACCGGTAAGAGGCCATCCACTCGCAGCTATTTCCATCCTGTTCCTAATTTTTGGGCCTATTGAAGAAGACACTGTCGCCTTGATAATTTGGTCTGCCGTCGAGTTGTGCGTTACCATGACGTGCATCGGCATTCCGATTCTTCGCCCGCTGTATCGCCGCATCAGATATGGATCCTCTTCATCAACAAGCGATGGTTCATACCAGAGACAAGGCGAAGACAGCAGCCTTGGCCAATATGAGCTCGGTGGTATGGCAAGGACGCCTGGTAAGAGCAGGCCCTCGGCTCACGAATCGAAGCTGGGCATACGTACACAAACTATCACAGACATCCAAACCTCGAACGGGAACAACAGCGACGAGCACATCCTCTCTTCGGTGGAACCAAATAATCTTGGAGCAGGTAACGTAGTGGACTCGAAAAGGATATATGTTGAGGACGACGTAAAGGTAGAATGGAACGATAAATAACGAGGCCCCTTGGTGTTAGGTTTCAGGGTCTTTATTCGAATAGAATAAATTTGATGCACGGGCGATTGATTGGAATCAAATTTAATTCTCATTCCTAAAATCGTAGAATACAAAAACAGTGTTCTAAAAACACAATGGCAACGTTTCTGCGCTCAAAACTTTAACGATACATAGATTTACCTATTGACCAAACTCTAAGATCGAGTTGTGACCAAAGCTACGTGTATCTTTGACGGCTCTCGTGCCCTTTAATACCACGTCAATGAGAGTGGGTAATTAATTATACCAGGCCACGCACGGTCTAGGGTGACTAAGTGAACCACTTGACAAGGCAGATGCTATAATTAACTATAAGGTTGCATTCACAATTAGCCGTCAGCAAATAACTCCTGATCCTCGTATCCCAGCTCCCCTGCATTCCTATCATCCCATGTGTAGCATGCATGATGCAGCCCCACGAAGGCCTTCAAGCTATTGATCCGCCCAATAGATCGTGTTAGTGAACATGAGGATAAAGGTTGAGTTTCGGGTTTGATCATCAACTTGGTGATCTTCTGTATATTATAGTTAGGCTAATCTCGGCGATGCGCACAGTCAATTTTCGCCTAAAGCTTGGGTCACTGGGACGAGGATACGTAGACCTCGTTTCGGCAAACATGGCGTGCTCCTGCGGTCGTATAAGAGAGCATTGATCCGCCGATTCCCCATAAGAAAGCCACGATTCCAAGACTACAAGGCAAGACGTAAGTCTGGGCTACCGTGGTCATGTTTTCCTAATTATCACCCTCGCTACTGGCCTCAGTTTTGTTCCACGTGGGCACCGCGTCCGCTCAGCAGAACCGCGTTGGGACATTTCCTGATTGCGTGAACGGCCCACTTGCGTCCAATGCGATATGTGATATCTCTATGACGCCCCCAGAAAGAGCTGCTGCTCTGGTGGCTCTGATGGAACCCGAAGAGAAGCTCGAGAATCTGATAAGGTGCGCAATACGAGAGTTTCACTCTTCGTATCAGGTCTGATCTGACCTACAGCTAGACGGAGATAGCTCTTGACGCAGCTGAAGAAGCTGATTGTATCGTGTTTTTGATGGTTTCGACACGTCCCTTGCTGGAGAAACCCTTGATCGCACTTACCTTGACTGGGCCCCCGCTCAAGCTTCTCTCATTAGAGCTTTTGGGGCGCCTGGGAGACCTCTTATTATCGTCCAGCTTGGAGATCAGTTAGATGATTCCGAGTTTTTGGATGCCGACTGGGTGAGCAGTATATTTTGGGCATCATGGCCCGGCTAAGATGGTGGCACTGCGATTATGCACCTTATTACCGGCCAAGACAGCCTTGCCGGTCGACTTCCTATCACGATATTCCTATCTAAATACACCAATATCATCCCGATGACCGACATGAGCCTTCGACCAATGTTGGTTTACCCGGACACACATACTGCTGGTATCCGACCCCTGTGAGACCCTTTGGCCTTGGTCTGTATTATATTGAGTTTGACGCCTCTTTTGTGTCGTTATGCAACTCAACTCTCGACATCCAGCCACTGATCTCGGACGGCGACGAAGAGCATCTCGACATGTGTCCTCTTCCATCCATCCCCATACAAGTGATCAACAGCGGCGAGCGGTCCTCTGACTTTGTTGCGCTTATGTATGTTAAGTCTGAGAACTGCCCCGAGCTACATCCCATCAAGACGCTCTCAGCATACAGTCGACTGCAGGAGATCGACGTGGGTGAGACGATACGAGCGCGCCTTGGATGGAAGCTCGCCAATTGCTCGTGTAGATGAGCAGGTTAATACTGTGCTATACCCAGGAATCTACACTCTTAGGCTTCACGAATTCACACAGGCCAGCATCGACATCGTCCTCATCGGCGAGAAGGCAGTTTTGAACGAGTAACCGTAAGGCCGTGGGGTCTAAGTGCACCGAGTCCTGGGGGCATCATCCCCTTGCTCGTACATGAAGGCATTATCGATTGACTTGATACCGGAACCTATAGACTAGGCGAGCTCTGCTTCAAGAACACTTCTCATAGCCTCCACAGCCTTGAGTTCACCCTGAGAGTAAATCCCAGACATGCAGGATGAACACAAACCCCTCCTTTTGCCACAGGGACATGATTGACTTCCGACATCAACAAATCCCCTGAGCACTGCGGCAATAATCAAGCTTGCTCTTGAATCCTACATCTCCCTGGGATATTATCTTGGCGGACTCGAGACCGTTTATTTCCCAGTCGTGTCGACAAGCCCGTCCACCACTTCCCAAGTCCAGCCGACGTTCGTCTTTTCTTCACCGACCACAGCGCCGACATCACAATCCAACATCGCCACCAGCGGACTCTGGCGGCTTTCATATCCAGAGCCTACGAATAAGTGCACTATTCCGCCGACCAATACAGCAAGCCCGCCACCCGCCGGCTTTGTCGGCTCCCCACTCCCAACAACTGCCACAGGAAGTTGCAGTGAGCTTGCGACGGTTCCTCCGCTCAAATCCCTGCAAACTTCAATCGACCCGCTCGATAGCAGTGGTGATGTTGACGGCACCTGTGGACCGACGAGGTTTGCTGTGCGGCCGCGAACCCGCGTTGGTGGATACAATTTCGACGAGAAATGACCAAGTCTCGTAGGCCCCTCTTATGCTGCTGCATGATGTGAGTGCATTGGGCGTTATATACTTTGTCGTCAAGGAGGGGGACACTTTCTTGTTATTGAATACAGCTGAGCCCGACCATGGTCCTGTACAGTGTTAGCACAGAATTTCAGCGACTGCTCTACTTTAACCAGACTACAATACAACAAAAGCTTCTGAAAAATATCAGTGTGCGTACTCGAACAGCAAAAGTTGCTCACATTTTGATCGAGTCCCGATAATGTGTCGATGCACATCAGCTTCAGGGTGGGCGTCGGATCCCAGTCGCAACATCCTGCAACTTCCACCCGTCAGTTGCTTTAGAACGGAAGTTAGGTAGGTGAGAATTGTCGAGCAGATTTCCTAGTTCAGCCTTCGTAGGGACTCCAGCAGCGCCTCAATGTGACGGACGCTAATACTGGACTTTTTCCGAGGCTGTCCCACAACCTCACGGCGTCTTGCGATGACGTCCTTGCGTGGACAATGATGACGAGTCTACTTTGGCGTGCTGAGCGATTCAAAAGATTCTGGGGTATAACAAGGCCCATGACCTGGCTGTACCCGGCCACTACAACCAGGAAGTGCTTGGCGGCTGCCAACCCATCGCTAAGTGAAAGTTTAGGTTCCATTGTCAGGGCAGCCGCAGCATCTATTTAAATTCTGTCGACGTCGAAGCCTATTACATGGGAGTGATATTTTGAATGCGTAGCTCACTCGAAGCCCATTATCCCTGGCCCATCACGAGGCGGTCCCTCCACAGCGCCGGCTCCTCATCCGAGCTCCGGGGCTAGTCCCGGACTCCGGGCTCCGTACGGCCCCATTTATTAGCGACACTACTGCCGGCGCATCATCATCTGTAGATCCGCGGCCAAGGGCGTAAGCTTTGGCAAAAACCTGGCTCGTCGATCGCACTGTGATGCCAAACTCATTTCGCAATAACTCCTCTAACTCTCGCGAGGTTCCCACTTCCAATGGCTGCTTAAATTATGTTTGGCTAAAGGATTCAGAGCCCAGATCCAGCATAGACCTATCTATCCCAAACACAGAGAGGTGAACGAAATATTATAATCGTGAACACAGACAACCTAAGTTTTAAGTTTTCGGTTCATGAAATAACATGTATCTCTATCTTTTACCCCCTTTCGAAGAGCAGTAACGGTTGCGCACTTGGACTTGCGAACAGTAGTGCGGCCCGGGGGCCGGAGTTGTCCGGAGTTGCGGAGACGAGGCGCAGATCCCATTCCGCCATTCGGAGTAGGCAACGCGATGACGATGCTTACTAAAAGCCATGCTTGTATATGTTGGCGGTGCTGCTCGGCGGGTTTCACTCCATGACGCAACACGATTTCGTGGCAACGTTATATCGCCTTGTACCTCCAATCAGCCCTTTGTTTTGCGACGCAGCTCTGAGCTTCCAATATCACGGCGACCCTGCTACCGAATGCCCATTCAGAAGCTAGGTCTAGGAATGAAGACCGTTGGCATTTTTCCGGCCTCCGGCGGCCTTGGGGGCAGCACGGCCACTCATCTGCTCAAAATTGTGCCGGGAGATCAAGTCACACTTATTGCCCGGTACCCTGACAAAACGCAGTTGCTCCCAGGGGCGGACAAAGCACGCATCAGACAAGCATCGTACGAATCGTCCCCGACAGAGTTGGAAACAGCTTTTCGAGGGTTGGACGTCCTTTTTCTCATTTCCTACCCCAGCCACGTGCGGGACTATCGCGTCAAGGTCCAACTGCCAGCCATCGACGCAGCACATAGGGCCGGGGTGAAGCACATCTTTTATTCTTCCCTCGGGTTCGCGCTGCCCGACAAGAAGGAAAGCCTGGCCGAAGTCATGCTTGCCCATCTTGAGAGCGAGGAGCATCTGCGAAAGATTGCTGCGGGAGATCCTGCTTTTACATGGACAAGCGTCCGGGAAGGCCTCTACCACGAATCGTTCCCCATCTACACGTCTTTCTGGTCTTTGCAAGCCCCAACGGATGAGATATGCATCCCCCACAACGGGGATGGACCGGGGATCAGCTGGGTCAAGCGTGACGAACTCGGCGAGGCCACCGCCAAACTCATTTCGCAGTATGCTTCGTTGTTGCCGGCAGAATCTTGGCCCCATGTCAACAACATCGTCTGTTTTACTGGCCCGCGTGAGCTGACGCTTACCGATACTGTGCAAATGCTTGGGAAAGCTGCTGGAAAGTTGGTTCGCATTCGGGAGGTAGGCTTCGATGAGTGGATTGCGCAACCTCAGATTCTGGAATATTTCGGCGATAGGGAAAAGGCGAAGACATGGGCCACGGCCTGGGATGCGATTCGTGCTGGGGAGACTGCGTTTGTCAGCTCGACTTTGGAACAATTACTTGGGAGGAAGCCTCAGGAGTTTGATGTAGCAATCCAGGATATGGTGAGTAGCTGAAGACGACAATCATGTCCGATACTGGCGCTTCTGAATGGAAGCAAAAAAAGCAAACGCACGCCCTATTGTTTTTGGGGGAGATCACATTGCCGCAATCGTACATTCTTGCTCAAAATCAATGAACACAGTCTCGCTGGCTCAGTGCACTGCTGTTTCGGTCATTTGCAGCATTTGCAACCCGCATCGATAGGTGCCACCGTACACTGCCACTGTCCTGTTTTGTGCTGTGGCTTGGGTGAACATCACAGCTTATAGGCTGTGCATGTCTTAGGCCGGCTGCCACGTCACAAGGCAGACAGATGCACCTACATGTAGGTACCTAGCTTGCGTACAGTGGGTGGACAAAAGTTATATATACGGGCAAATCCCTGTCTTCGACTGGGAAACCGTAAATGCACGTTTTTTCATACCATGTCCAACGTATTGCCTTTTGACTGATAACAACATGATCACATGAGACTGTGGTCGTCGCCACTACCAACGTGCGTAAAACAAGTATGGCAGCCTTCTCATTCGGTAGCTTCGGCGACATCATTGCTCTAGTCCAGCTGGCTTCCAAGCTTCACGATGCCATCGATAGCGGAGGGAGAATTGCCAAGGAGCTTGAGGATTCAAAGAAAGAGCTTCATTCCTTTCTGTATCTTTGCAACTCGATTGAACAAAGTCTCCGAAATGGCGTAACAATCCACCAAGACGAGCTCACAGTGTTCAAGGTTCTGACGGACAACTCTCGAGAATGTTTACAGAGCTTTGGGAAGTACCTGTCTCGTTTTGATGATTCAAGGCAACTGGTCCGGCTCGCACGGCGAGCTCAGCTCAGTTTGTCGAAAAAGGAAGAAATTTACCAGTTTCAGAACAGGATGCGCGGCTTTGTCGCGGCTCTCGGCGTCATACAGACGAGATATTGCTCGAGGGAAATCACTGCGCAGATCAGCAGATCACTGGACGAGCCATGGGATCGAAAACCGATGAAATTCCAGGATGCGCTGGGTCGTCGGTATCCAGTTCCATTAGAGGTTTGCGGTACTTTTAAAGTGAGCCCTTGCACGAGTCGTCTCCTTTTTGCGCCGTCAACAATACTCATTCTGGTATTAGGGCTTCATGAACTTCCTCCAATTCGCTTTTAAGAGCAACGTAACTCTTCATGCCGCAGTCCAGCAGTGTCAGATTTGGCTGTTCACTCCAGCCAACTCCAATCCCGGTCTATGGTACATCATTCTCAAGGATGACTGGAAGCACATCAGCAAGCCTGGGGTGCGGCTAGGCATGTCTTTCGCCACCCAGTCCGAGGAGGAAGGCGGCGCAAGTCAGTATCCATCGAGGGGAGCTTCAGCTACGGCACGAACAGACGGTATCCCGACTGGTCCCACAGACAATGTCAACAGCCTCGCAGGCCAGCTGATGCTGAATGAAGACACAATTAAGAGTGTCAGGTTTGGAGAGCCCCTGCCACCTTGGGCGACATACGACCCAAAGACAAATTTCAAGCTACTGTGAGAGCACTAATAGCACCGCTTCTAGTATCAGTGGTAGAGAACAGGTATACTGACTGCCCAGTAGAAGCTCTCTATTATCACGGCAACACGTACCAAGGCCAATCCGCCCTGTCCCACGCTCACTGCAGATTTCTCAATACACCGTCTATCTTGCATGTAGGACCTGAATGGCGGTCACTGAACCAGGGTTTTGGAGGCATCGGGTGAATCAAACCGGCATCTCTCCCAGTCTCGAAGAGGTCAGAACAACTGGCACTCATCGCCCCCCCGTCGCAATAATTGCCCAAGAACAAGCCCAAGAACAAGCCCAAGAACAAGCCCAAGCCCCGGGACCTAAACGGATGCGTATGCCCATGCGTTCGCATTCCGCTCGGTACAGCTGGATCCGACGATCCGCAAAACACCCGCATCCACGATTTGGTATGTCTCAACTGAAAAGTGCTAGATAGGCCGACAACTTGAGATTTATAGGTATATTGAAGGGAATGGTGTTGCGCGACGACTTGAACGTTCCTTGCACGCCGGGCAGGTATGTGTATAGATCTTGGTCCTAGGACGTATGGGGGTTCCAGTCACGGCGAGAAGGATCATGATAGTCAATGTATGTTTTGGCAGAGCACTACATATGTACCAAAACACCATTGATAAAACTATCCAGCATACATACATTAGAATTAAACGTCAATATCCGACCTTAAAACAGCAGAGCAACTAGGGCAGGCATGGCCAGAGCCATTCCGACCTTGACCGAGCCAGCCGCACCAGCGGGAGGCTGAGTGGGTGTGACAGCAGGGGGAGGAGCCCAGGTAGTAGAGGCGTGAGGGGCGGTCACGCTGGTCCAGGTGCTGTTCGGGGCAGGCTGGATCCAGGTCTGAGGAATCTCAGTGGTGGGAACCTCGGGGATCTCAGTAGGAACTTCGGGAGCTTCAGTGGTAGGGGCCTCAGGGACCTTGCTGGTAGGAGCCTCGGGGACCTCGGGGTTGTTGGGTGTGGTGGGAACAGGAACGTGCGAGGTCGGGCTCTCAACGGGGCCGGTAGGGCCGGTAGGGGCAGGGGCAGGGACAGAGGGAACGCCGGTAGGCTCAGGCATGTCAACCGTGCCGGTCTCGACGGGGCAGACAGTCTTGGAGTCAGTGATGGTAACAGTGGGCGCGATTGGTGTCGTGTGGTCCTTGGGGGGCGTGTAGGTGCTGGTGGTGGGCTTGCAAGGAACGATAGTCGTCAGAGTCTCGTTGATGGTGTGGACAGGCTTCTTGGTCTTGGACGAGGTAGTAGGCTCGGCCGTCTGCGTAGCAGGGCAAACGGTGACGGAGGAAATGATGGTCGAGGTGACGATCTTCTGGGTCTCGGAGGCAGGGCAGTTGGGCACCGAGGCGTGGCAGCTGGTGATTGTGTACACCTTGGTGGTGGTGGCGGTGCTGGTGACGAGACCATTGCTGGTGATGGTGGCGTTGACAGAAGCCGTGGCAGAGCCAGTGACGGAGGCCGGGGCAGAGCCAGAGCCAGAGCCAGAGATGGAGGCCGAGCCAGAGCCAAAGGCAAAGTCAGAATCAGAGCCAGGGGCAGAGGGTGTAGCTGTAGCTTCAGCCAGGTCGTCTTCGACAGCAGGAGCTTCGGTCAGGTCGTCCTCGACAGCAGGGCGCAGGAATTCACCAACAGTGCCACGGTCTTCGCGGCAGATCTCCAGTCCGAGGTTCTTGGCCAGAATGACGGTCACCTCGGGGGCAAGGCTGATGTCGAGGATGTCGAGAACGGAAGCGTAGACGTCGACACCAACGCCGAGACTGAGGACAAAGTCATTGGTGACGGAGACGAGGCAGTCGCTGGTCTCGACGAGAGTAATGGTGTGCGACAGGAGGTCAGCCCAGATGGCAATCTCGGCACCGGCCTCGAGGACATCGAGACCGAGCAGATCGACATCAGCGCCCACGGCAATGTGCGAACGGAGGCGGAGGCCGAGCTGCACCTCAATCTCAGCAGACAGGTCAACGTCAGCGCCAACGCCGACGGGCAGGGCCTTTGTCAGCAGACCCTCGAGGTTGGTGTTGACCACCTCCTTGGTGAGGACACAGATGTCGAGGTAGTCGCCCTCTTGGAATGAAACGTAAAAGCCAGCAGACAAGTCGACAGCAGCGTTGACGCCGACAATCAGATCGAGGGCAAAGGCAGCTCTGAGCTCAAGCTCGAGAAGGCCAGCATCGACGGACAGCTCGGGGGAGGCGACAAGCTCCACGGTCTGGTACACGGCAGCGGAAGCCGAGAGGTCGAGCTCAAAGTACGCCTTGACACCAGCGAGGTCGAGGCGAAGCGTGGAGTCCTTGGCAAAGTCCTCCAGGGCCTGAATGGAAATGTCACCCTCGAGTTGAGCCTCCTTGAGGTTCAGTCCGAAGGAGATGGCCGCATCTGTCTCAGTCTCGGCGGCGACGATGCTACAGTCTATGGTAAGCTCATGTCTTTATTCCATTCCGGATGCTCATACCCGTCGAAAAGGACCTCGTTGTCCCAGCTGGAGCCGCAGTCAAAAGTAGCGGGAGACTGGCCGACACCACCGATCGAGCCCGGGAAATGCGCATGAGCGGCACCGACAAGGCCAGCCACAGCTGGTGCGAGGCGGGAGAAATGCATTTTGCAAGGGAATCAGCGAAAGACGTTATCTGTAAGGAGTGGCTGGAGTCAAAGGATCTCCAAAGAGCTGCTGGCAATGAGCAACGAATGAGTGACTGCTGAACCTTGTGTTGGGATGAGGAGAGAAGAAGGTGAGGGCGCCAGATTGGACGTTCACGGGCGTCCTTTTAGTCTGTCGCCATCGTGGACGTGCGCATACGTACTGTCGATCGGGAGCATGACCAGGCCGGAGAGTGATCCTCAGGGGCTGTCACATTGACGGTGCGGATCAGTTGCTAGCGACCGTCAACTCCACCGTGAGGCCCTTGTTGATTGGGCACACGACAGTCTTTTCCGAATCGCAGCAAATGACCAGCGGCGGAGTGCAAACGCGTCCTCTCCTTGAGGCTTGTGGGCTGCGATTCCCTGAGCTAGGTGCTGTGGTCAATGACTAGCCAAGACACGCCTCCCGTCGGCGATATCACCATCATCCAGGAGTCTCGTCGGGTCACGAATCTTGTGCGATATCTTTGCGGCAATGACTGTTGCTTAACATGGGCATCTCCCAGTGATTTGATCCTAGTGAGGCTCTGAAGTTCATCTCCTTGGTCAATACACCAAGTCCACGGATTTAAAAGCCCCCGGAGGCTCGAAGAGCTTGCGAGGCTCTCTGTGCTCGGTAGATGAAACCCTGTTGGGTCGGAAGAATGTCCGGGGTGAAGTGGGCGATCCCAATTTTCGGTCCCTTGGCAGCCAGTCATGGCTGCGGACGAGACGGGCATCTCTTGTTCTCTCTGACTTATCACAATGTTTGACAGGACCATGTGGGGAACTGCCCAGCTACTAACATGAATCAATCTTCGACCGCAGTGGTTGCAGTGACGGTGAGCTTCTTTATTAGCCTTGCCGAAGGCTGCGTCGGAGACCCTCTAAAAACCTCCTATTCTCGCAGCTTCATTGCGCCCAAGGCGGCAGTCTGGTGAATTCCAGCTGCGACCGTCACTCATGTTGGGCTTCAAATGCGCAATTTGGGTGCGCCATGGTCCTAGGGCAGCAATTTCGGTGAGGCGACCTAGTAGTGGCCAGTGCCAAATGGACTTGCCATGAATCCCTGCGCGATTAATACGTATAGTATTTGATGGCAGCGCTGTGGAATCTGTCCGGTCACTCCACGCCACGACCCGCGAGTCGCGCTGGCTACCCGGAAAGGGCCGTGATTCAACGCCCTGATTCCCTGAATTTGACAAGTTTATCAATTGCCGTTGAAAGCCTGCTTGACAAGTAGCACAAGGTCAAAAGTTGCCTGGTCGCGCGAGACTGACTGTTGCAGATACGGTGCAGCAGTCTATTTGCGCTTCCTGTGTGTTGCTTCATGAACACTGGCGTAACGTTAGAACATATCAACCGCATTCAATGACAAAGTCCGTTCAGTTCACAAAATCACCATCAGCGTGTTGTGTTTGTTGCGTAGTGACCAAGATTTGGGACCTCGTCAACTACGCTCCAAAGGCGCATATATTGTACCGAGTGCTGAGGGTAGTTTCCGGGCAAATCGCATCCCAGATCAAACGACAGTGAACACCTACCAACATCGAACTCAATAACAATCACAACAACACAAGCAACCCATCGAGATGGAGCGAGTCGGACCCAACCACTACAAGTTCAGCGTCGCTGGCACTGGCTCCGCGAAGAAGCTCCGTGAGCAGTTGAAGAAGGAGGCCGATAGGGAGTGGAAGGAGAAGCAGGAAAAGAAGCAGCAAGCAGGCTCCTCAAAGGATGTACCAGAGTCCAAGGAGGGAAAGGAACCCTCCAAGTGAGCCACAATGTTCAGCAAGGCCAACGGCACCAGTCAAGACGAGAGTGAACGCAACTTCATCCTGGAGCAGGCAGCATCAGTTCGTATCAATGAGGAGAGACGACTCATAAAACAGTGATGATTAATTAATTTCTTCCATGCCATCTATGTGTATAAATGCCCCATCGTGATGCAGTGTACCCATCGCATACTCCTTTTGTCGTGATAATCCCGGTTATGCCGATCCCGTAACGCCCAAAGCCGAGCGATCCTCTCGGCTGACTGTCATACACAATATACATTACGTTCAAGACTCTAGTCGCTTTTACCTAGTTGTCGATTCATTCCCGCTTGACGCTGTCGGTTGACGCTGTCGGTTGACGCTTCCTCGGAAGGTTCCTCAGTGGCCTGCGGCAGATTATCTGAAGGCCGTTCTGCGGCGTCGACGAATGTGTCTTCAGGCTGAGCAGCTTGTTGAGGGGGCGTTGATGGCAGAGAAGCCTGGGGACAGTCCTTCTCTGTGGCCGGAGGAGCCTCGGCCTCTGCAGCTATGTCGGTCGTCTCAGTACTGGTATGTAGCTTCTCGTCCTCAACTTTGCCTGGGCTGGCTGAAGCTGGCTCAACCGTAGGAGCCTGTTCATGACTCGGCCTCGGACTCTTCTCGGCGTCAAGGCCTAGCACGTTCTGTCCGCAAGGGACGACCCCGCCACCAATCCTTGCCCAGAACATTTGCTCTCTCAAGCGAACACTCTCCTCCCAGGCCGCCTTCTCCTGATCGACGTCGTCCGCCCTCCAATGACCGTCCTTGACCATGCGCAGGAAGCTGAGAAAGTCGCATGTTGATCGCACTCGATGCAGGCAGTACCGGCATAATGGATATCGTTGCGCTGAATCTTGCTCGCTGGTCCGGAAGCGGTGATTGCGAAGGTAGCGAGGATCTTTCCTCGACTCCCCGCACAGCGAGCAAGGGTTAAACTGGGGTTTGGTGATGCTCATCAAGAATGAATTGCCCGCATGCGTGGTGACAGGGTCCACGACGAGTGAGCCGTCGGCAATTGCGCTAATCACAGATCGGCGTGCCAACCATGACAAGCCAGGGGCAGCATCCAGCCGCAAGGTAGGTTCGATGTCCTCGGCCAGCGCACGCTTGAAGAACTTGGTGTCTCGCAGGTTCACAACGGGCGCCGTAGGTGACCCACTGCTAAAGGTCGAAGCGGGCGTATTGGGGGACTGCGGCGCACTGTTGACATAATTCCCAGCTGCCATGCTGAATGTGGTGGTTGTAGAGCCGTTGGTAGGCTGCGCATTCGCAGAATTGCTGCCAAGTCCAAGCGACGGCAGGTTCAGTCCACCCAAAGAACCAGACGAGACTCTACTGCCCGTCGCCTTCCTGGAAAGCTTCGCAAGGCTCACAAAATCGTCGTATGCGATGACGTCTGTCCTGAGGACTGGCTGGATAAGATGGCTGAAGCTCATGGGGTGTGTCGGCAAGACGCCATCCGTGTTCGGAGAAGCAGTGGACAAATCACCGCCCTGGCCGTCGTCGTCGCGTACATCGAACCTCGCGACGGCGGGCGACGAGGGAGCCGTGTTCGTGTTCGTCTGGTCGTCTCGGTCCGATGTCATTGTCTCCATGACCACCTTCAACTCGGTGAGCTGATCCTGTTGCGACTTGAGCAACCCTTCCGAATCTGCCAATTGGGCCTTCAGCTGGTCGTTTTTTTTCTGCAGGGCATCGTGGTCCCGTTGCGCCTCTTCCTTTGCACGGATCACCATTTTGTTTGCCTCCTCAAACAGGGCCGCTGTCAAATTCTCCAGCTCTTGCTCAATCTTCTTCTTGGACCGCTCCATCTCCAGCCGTTGCGCTCGTTCTTCGGCGACTTGTGCATGTAACGCCTTCTTCTCCAGGTCGGCAGCGCTACGGCGAACCCAGACATCGCCGGCCAGAACTTCGCGGTGCGAAGCGTTCTGTGCCTCCAAATCCTTAATGCGGTCGGTGGCAGCCTCCAGTTCGTGCCTCGTTGAGGATAGCCGATCGTCAAGCGTCGTCTGGTGGTTGATCGCGTTTATCAGCTTTGTGCTGAGCGCGGTGACCTCTTCGTTGATATTGGGCTCGCGGTTCGGGGTAGCTGGTTCCCCGTCAATGACAGGCGTCATAGCGCGGCTTCGTGGGTCGGGTATTGTGCTCATGTCGTCAAAGTAGTTGTGCGTGGATCGCAGCGCCGATGTCGAGGGCGCTTTGACGGGGAGACGCCGACGTGGTACGTCGAGGCTGTCATCTGATGATGCAAGAGGGGAATCGGTAGAAGGCGCGGAGGTCGATACGGCGGCAGTGGACATGGAGCGGAAATGGCCACTATACGGGCGTGTTGGAGGCTGTGCCCAGCCGGCAACGTGTATTAGGCTGGTGAAGATGTTAGCGGCGCCCATGAGGGAATGAAGCCAGAAGAGAGGCGCTTGTGGAGTCTGGTGCAGCTGTCTTTCGAGAGATATGTTCCGTGGGTTGCGCGGCTGAGACATGCTACACCGTGACCCTATGGAGGAGAAACCATGTACGACGTGGCAAGTCGGATCCCGAGACAAACTCTCAAACACAGCGCAGCGCAGCAACGGATGATTTCGTGGCAAGGGTGAGACATACGAGTCCATTTCGAGGCAATGCGAGGCTGTAGGACACCAGCCAGCAGCCCAGGTGTTGCGGCAAGTCGCAAATGGGAGATGTTGCCTTGTGGCAATCGGTAGATAGACCCGCTCTCGACGGTATCGGTGGGTTCGCCTGATGCGCTCGCTTTGGTGGCAGGAAGCTCGGGGGTTTCTGACCCAGGGAGTTCAATGTCGAATAATAGGAGATGTCGATGGAGGAGAACTGCGCCAGGTTGGATCGTGACAATAATGGCGCGTCTCCGCGCGGTCGGATGTCGATTGTGGATGGAGGAAGCGAGAGCAAGCAGGTCTGCATGCGGGAAGGATCCCGGATCCAGGTTCAGCTAGTAGATCCCACTCAATAACTTTCCAATCATCACGATGAGTGTCGACCTTTTTGACGCCTTGTGCTTGGCCTCCCTCATGAAAATTGATGGACAGTCTAGATCAGTAATGATTACAAGTCGAGGTCCTCGAAAAGGATAACAGGCGATGGCGAGCCAGAAGCAAGACCAAGAGGGGGGCGGGCGCTTAGCCCGTGTTCGCTCCTTCCCTTTGCGCAGCAAAGTTCGGGTGCCTTGGGCGACGTAGGCGGAAAGTCTAGAGTGCGATCATGCGAATCCGGCAAGGCGCATGGCACGACCCACTCATCCGTTCTCGCTCGAGGTTCTGTCCAATCAACGTGCCCCATACGTGTCGAATGAGGTCAGCGTACTCGATTACCAGGGGACTCAACAACAGGGTCTGGAAATGACGATGACGACCAGAGGTTAGTCACTGACATCAACGACTTACCAGTTTATCATCTTGCTTATTTGACTAAGTTTAATCTTTGCAAATATGTGAGCAGCAGCAGCACGTGGCGATCATGTCGCGGTAACACCGGCGTAGTGAAGGTCGGACCATGTTCACTCAACAAAGTCGCTGGCGCTGGCGTGTCTTGGCTACGGAGCAGCAATATCCGTATCCGAGGTGCTGTCAATATCGAGCAACAATTACAACCTATAAGCATTAGAGGCCTGAATGCTGCACAGGAGGCTATAGAAAGGGCTGCAGCTTCGTACTAGACTTATGTATTTTAGCAAACTTTTAGGTGGCTAATTTGGGCTCATTAGCGCTAACGACTTTGTCGAGCGAGTCCGGTATGCCTGGCAATGCTAATCTAGCATGCGTACTCAAACGGGAAAAACAGAAGAGAAGGAAATTGGTATCTAAACTGCATGTACACTTGACCTAGGAAATGAAATGGAAAGATTTGACTTCAAGAACCTGATATCCAACGGATCAATCCTCCTTCCAATCACCAAACTCAGGCTCGCCGTATGGGTTCCACTCCTGGCCAGGATAACTGGTGGCACTCATTTTCGGCACGTCGCCCTCGGGGTCGTAGAAGATTTTCTCTTCCTGCGAATTCAGTCGCAGAGTGCGCATGCGTGCGGCCGCCGTATCCTCGAGCTCCATCATGGGAGGATCGTCCCTCTTGGCTTGCTCAGCGTCCTTGACAGAAGTCACAGGCACCTTGCGGCCGCTCGTTGCTGATCCCGACATGGAGTTGTCAGAAGCGCCAGTTCTGTTCTGATGCAGCCGAGGTGTTGCGTCGTAAATGTTCTCCTCGTCCACCTTGTTCGACTTGGCCACATCGACGTTGAGATTCTTGGCATTGCGTTCATGTTGGTCAACAATGTCGGCATCAGGGCTTATAGAGACCGGCCTGGTGATTTCAGTGGTGTTGGCAGGGGTTGTAGAAGAGATTTGACTGCCCTCACGCGAGGGTTCCTGTGTATTCAGGCTCATGTTGCTGGACTGGGGCTGCAGGTGGTGACCAAACTGAGGCTGTCCAGGTGGCAAAAGTCGTTGTCCAGAGCCGCCCATCACTCCTGACTCAACACTGCGGCCACCATCAGTCATGATTGTGTCATGGCGCAGAGCTGACGGACGTTGAAGAGAGTCCCGTTGCTGCACAGCCTCAAAGGGGACCTCATCGGGTGTTCGGGCTGGCGTAGTCGTGCTCGGGGTAATGTGACCTTGAATGGGGAGATTGAAGCTACCATGATCAGGGGGGGTGCTAGTGGTAGCGCTGTGGCGACGTTGGTCCTGGCTCTGAACTTGCTGGGGGACCAGCGTATCTCTGTGCATCCCAGTCTGCTGAGTCTGCCCTATCTGCTGGACAGGTGCTTGTCTCCCATACGGGGCAGCGGGCGGCTCATTGAAAGCGTGTGACGCTGGAGCCGGAGCTTGTCCTTGATAAAGCATTGGCTGGTGTTGCCATTGAGGCTGGTGACCCTGCAGATACTGCTCATGGGGAGAGAAATGGCCTTGGGGCTGCCTAGGGCCACGCGGGATATGATACTTGGTGGGGGCTACCGTACCTTCGCCATGAACGGCACTATAGCCCTGAGGTATAGGTACCTGGTCATATTGCGGTTCTGATGAGCGGTGCATAGCCTGCTGGGTATGGTGCATGGCCATTTGCTGGCCATACGAACCGTGATGAGGTGCCTGGCTAGGTTGGGGCGGTCTATGCTGAGGAGCAGTATAATGGGCCTGTCCAGGCCGCCCAGGAAGAGGATCCGGAGCGTGTTGCTGTTGTTGAACATACTGGCCCCCATGTCGGTACTGCTGGGGTTGCTGATAGAATTGAGGAGGACCAGCGTTAGGAGGTGGCCCCGGCTGACCTCGGCCCTGCTGGGTGTACTGTCCGTACGCGTCGTGAGGCGCAAACGGTTGCTGTGCCAATGCTGGAACCCCTTGAGCTTGCTGCGCAGGACTAGGTCTCCATTGGGACTGCTGCGGTGGCTGCCCGGTCTTTGGTGGTGGAGGTGGCGGGTTCTCGCTTGGCTTGGCCACTTTCTTCAAGGCACCGAGCAACTTTCCCCCGGTCGAGGGTTTGCCAGACTGCGACTGGGCTGGCTTTGGCTGGCCATTCTGGGGCGAGGGTTGCCCCATTGCAGACATGCGGGCCTTCCATCCCTTCAGCTTCGACTCGCTGCCGACAGTGGGCTGCACGGGCTGCTGTCCAGGGAAGGGAGAGCTTTGAGGTGGTATCCCCTGCTGCTGTTGGCTCGGGACCTGCCCCGGCCGGATATGTCCCTGCGCCCGCTGTGCCTGGGGGGCAAATCCAGGTTTTTGAGGTCCTGGCCCACTTGGCTGGCCATAAGGCGCCTGGTTGCTCAACTGAGGCTGTTGGGATGCACCTTGCTGTCCTCGTTGAAAATACAGTTGCTGGGGGGCTTGGGATGAACCCTGAGGTTGTCGTGGCTGCTGGTGGGGTTGTGGGGGAAGTGTTTGGCCCAGGCTTTGTCTTAAGCCGGAGGGTCGAAGCGCATCAGATGGTCCATTTGTAGAACCGAGGCCTACCAAAGGCGGCGACAGCTTCGTTGCCTGCTGTGCCGGATTAGGGGATGACTGGTGCCCGGCAGGAGAAGGGGACGGCCGGAAGCCCACCGGTGATTGAGGTTGAGAGCCCGGTTGCTGGACAAGTGCCGAGACAGCCCTCTTCCGTGCAGGTGATCCATCGTGGGCGGATGGCGGCACGGCTTCCGTGTGTACAGGAGTGCTCTCACGTGACGGAATAGACGTCGCCTGCGGGACGGGCTTCCGCAGCGAGACGTTTCGATCAAATTGCAATGACGATGGCAGGCTGGAGTCCTGTCTTGTGCGTCCCTGTTGTCCGGGCCCCCTGCCGTCTTGGATGAGGGAGTCATCCGGTGCAGTGCCTTCGGTCGGCAGGGTGGTCGCAGACGACTGTCCTGGACCACTAGGTGGCGCCATTGACGACAGCAAAACGCTCGCGTGAGGAGTTGGCAGGCGTTTGACAGGTGAAGTTGGCGTGGCCTGGGGGTCCTCCACCGTTCGCTGCGACAAAGATCGGTTCACGCTATCCTCGGTTACCGAAGCACGGTGTCCTTGCTCAGTAGTGACGGACCCTACGGGTGAAACCATTGATGCTTTGGATACCTCATCCTGGCCTGCGTAGCCAGTGACGGAGGGGCCCGCGTCAACAGGCGATTCTGCGCGGCCATTGTTGTCATATGCTGCTGGATCTTGCGGCGCGTGAGAAGGCTGGTACTCGATGTGGGACGATGGACCCTGAGCCGCCGACTGCTGGGCAAGAGGAGACAGGCGGGCAGGTAGAGTCTGGGCAATGAACTGCCTAGACGCCCGTGAGCTAGCGTCCATCGAGCTGCCTCGGCCAGCGGGGCCTTGCGAGGAGCCGGGCGGTCCCATGACAACTTGCCCATCGCCATACAGTGATCCGGGCGGACCAGCATATGGCCCTGGTTGCTCTGGCTGTCTTGTTTTCGAGGAGGATCTATTGCTCCCCCAGAGATGGTCTATGGCTCCTGTGGAAGAGCCTCTCCTACCTTGTCGGACGCCTTCGGCGTCTGGGCCAGACGGCGGCACCATTGTTTGAGAGTCAGTCGATTCAACCGTACTACGGCGGTCCCTCGGCCGAGAATGCGGTGGTGGGAGGGATTGGTGGCTCGCCGCACCAAGAGGCTGAGGCTGATGCAGCTGGTTCATGGGGGAAAAAGTCGAGTGGGATGGGCTAGGCTTGGCAAGTTCTTGACTCGGTCTGTGTAGCCTGCCCGCAAGACCAGCTGCCTTGTCAGCAAAGCCGGAAAACCGCTTCTTCGGGGGTTCCATGCTTGAAGTGTCATTACCAGTGGTGATACTTGAGTCGCCAGCAACGTCGGAAGTGGACGCACGAGTGATACCGGGGAGACCGCCAGGGATGTACTTCAGGTGCGCAGCAGACACTCGACCCGCCGAAGAGCCCAAGAGTGACCTCTTTTTCTCGGACTGCAGCGTACCCGTCTGCGCCCTTTCCGGTGGCTGCATGGTCTCCTGCGTTGCTGGACGGTGGATACCTCCAGCGCGAGGCTCATCGACTGCATCATGCGAGGGTCGTTGCTTCAGACTAGGTAAGAAACTCGAGCGTTTCTTCTTGGGCTGCTCCGATGGGTCCTGTGCTTGAACGCTGGCATGGAAACCGACTGGCTGCTGTCCATTGGGGGGAGTGCTCTGCTCGGCCAGGGAACTGCGACGCTCGTTCAACTTGCTGCCGGACAGGCGATCGCCCAGACCCTTGAAGATGTTGGACGACTTCCTGCGGCCCTCACTTAGTGCAGGGCTACCCTCGAGTCCGGCCCAAGAAGGGTGTTGCGCGGGGCCGACTTGGCTGAGTGTCTGATAGAGTCCTTGCGTCGGGGGCGACGTGGATTGGCCTCCAGAGTCGGCGCGGTCACGCTGCGGCTGGTTCGCAGGTCTGAAGAGTTCCGGATAACGTCGAGCCGACGAAGGGGGCACATCTGATGATCTTCCGCGGGGCGGGTGCGGTGAAGGCGTCGGCTGCTGCTGCTGCTGCTGCGGCCCCGAGGCAGGGGATAAAGGAGACATGGGCAAGGTGCCGCCTGTTTCTTTCTCGAGAGAGCCACAGGTGGTGACCTGCTGCTGCGAGCTGCCGGTACCTGCCCGGCGTCTGGCGACCTGCAACGGTTCACTCAAGTGGCTCTCCTCGAGCTGCCACCCTGAAGGCGGCTGCGGACTAGCATCAGGCTGGCCGGGCGATTGCTGGGGTTGTGAAGTACCCTGGCGTGGTGCGCCGGTGTTGGGATCGGCTGGGGCTGGTTGATCACCTTGTTGGTTCTGATAAACCCGCATAGGCTCTTTGCTTATGCTTATTGAACTGTGACCAGTGTGATTGGTGCTTTCTTGCCCAACGAGAGTCGCGTTGCTGTCGACTCCAACGGAGCGATGGCTGGCCTCTTCGATCGGCTGTGGTGAGGCGCCGTCAGCATGCTGATGGGCAATGGTGCCATTTTGATATTGGTAGGGCTGAGTCTGAGGGTGAGGGTGAGGTTGAGGTTGATGAGCTGGAGCTTGGTGAGGCTGAGCGATTGGGCCGCCTTGGGCAGGCGCGTCGCGTCCAGGAGCACCAGCCTCGACTTGCTGCTGTTCATCGGCCGCAATTAATGCAGCCAGGCCAAATGACGAGTTCCTTCGCAACGGCGGGAGTCCCTTGAAAGACGAGTGGCGCTGGGCATCCGGCCTCGCGTCTGGTTGCGACTGCGACGCCATGCCAGTGCCAATGCGACTACCCTCAGCAGCAGCCTGTCCAGCGACAGATTTTGGAGAGAGACACGGAGCGACACGCGCGTCAGAGCCAGCGACAATGTCTTGCGCAGCAGTGGTCTGGCGGGGAACCAGCACCCAATCCGCTTCGCTCAATGGCCTCTGCCCTGCCTCAACTGCTGGCAGCCGTTCCGGGTCTGGATCTGGGCCTTGTTGGCCGGGTCCCCCCGCAACGTGCTCATTTCCATTTGGGGGCGGAGGATTCCGCAGCCCTAGCGCAGGAGCCACGTCAATTTGGGAGAGCGAAACGGGGTCATTGCCTGCGTCTTTGCGTTCGTTTGTCGTCGTTGTCGTCGTCGTCGCTGTCACGGGCCAAAGGTCGCCTTGTCCGCCACCGTCCATAGGGGACAGACGCGGTGGCTCCGCTAGTCGCGGCGGCTCGGAATGGATCGACAGTCTCGGATCTCCACCAGCAGAGCTCGTATCGGCCCCAGCAGTGCCGGACGACGGCACAGGGTGGGAGCTCGTGTTCTCGCGGGACTTGGGCCCCAGGCTAAAGGCCCATGACATTCGACGGTCGCTTTTCGATGGGCCCTGGTGCGGTGGCTGCTCGGGGCTTCGGTCCACCGGCGGCGGAGAGTGTTCACCCTATTTAAATCCAAGCTGGTCAGCCCTACTGGTCTTCACCGTGGCATCATGTACTAGCTCATGAGGGTTGTTGGTCTGTAGAAGGGGAAAAGTGTCTCATGCATTCCTATCTTTCACGCCCTGCCCCGATCATCATTAGGCCAAAAATGCAAGAAAAGAAAATGCTGTCTTGACCAACCGTCAAGTGCAAGCCGACGAAAGTACGTCTGTCCGGTCCAATGCGTACGTGTGTGTGTGCGTGTGTGTGATGGGCATGTGGGAAAGTGACTGGGTCAGTGCGTTTGTATCAGTGAAATACCTTGTCCCCTGTGCCACGAAGCTTGCTCTTCCCTTTGCTAAACAGCCCCTTGCCCATTTTCCCGGCCGAGTGCATCAACTCCTTGCCCTTGGTGCCGATCTGGTTACCTGAGCCCCCAAAGGCGCTTCCGGCAGCTTGTTGAGCTTGCATCGGGAAGCCAGCGAGGCGTGACCGCGCCGAGCCTCCTGGTGCCGATCCAGCAGATGGTGTGTTGGCATTCGCACTCAGGTATTGTTGGTAGTAGGGCTGCTGTGCAGAGGGCATGGGCCCCGGAGCGGTCGACGCATTCGCAGGTGATGGTGGCGCGGCCATGGCCCCCGAGTAGGAGCCGTTGGCATTGGCATGCTCGGCGTGTTCCTCCTTGAGCGCTGCGAGCCAGTTGCTCAACCCTGATTCCTGGTTCGCAAAGATGCTGCGAGACTCCTCGTACTTGGCGATGCGGTCTTGCGGGCTGGACATGTTCATAATCTCGCGAAACGTGAGCGTCGGCTGGCTTGAGACACCACCAGCAGCCGGCGCATGAGCATCGCCTGTCGTCAAGTCACGTGCTGCCGATGGAGGTTGGACGTCGAGGGGAGAGGCACCTTGCCCTAGACCGTTACCTGCAAGAGGCGTGGCGTCCCGGTTGCTCAAGTCAGAGACAGGCGAGGGCGGTCCACCCGGTGCATGAGAGGAACTGGCGAGTGAGACTTGGTGCGAGATGGAAGGTTCCCCCGACACAAGCTTAATAGTCGGTGACACAGGATTCGCGGCTGGCTGCCCAGTCCCAGCTTGTACAGGGACTGGGTTGTCTTGCGTAGCGGGTTGCGGCGCGGCTGCAGTAGGTGTGGTTTCCTTGGGGGTCGCCGCTGGCTGCTGCGCCCGCGCCTCCTCCGCTTCCCACGAGAAGCGCCGCCGCATTCCAGCATCCGAACCGGGCTGACTCGACTCGGGACTCATGGGAGCGAATTGCTGACTGGCGTGTGACGCCTCATATGCTGGAGGCTGCGAAACACGTACTGACTGGTACGCCGGGGCGGGATCAGCGACTATCGGAGGCGGACTCGATGTCGGCTCTGGGACCTTTGTGTCCACGGACGTGGCACCGGCAGCAGTCTCGTGGGCGGCAGGCACTTCAGGCACGGCGCCAAGGGTCGGCTTGCGCTGAATGTCGTCGTCGGCGTCGCCTGTCTCGTTCCAGTAGTCGTCATAAGCACTCAACGCGTAGCTGCTTTCACGGCCGGTGGCAGGAACTGGCGGCTCGCGCTTCTCGTCTGGGTGTTCACAATGGGGACTAAGTCCACCAGGCGTGAGAGACCGCATAATCTCATCGCTCAACACGTCACTCTCCTTGAGAGGTGAAGACGTCGTGGAATCACGGGTCTGCTGTCTGCCTAGTTGTTGAGGCTCGTAATCTGACGGGGTGTAGTCTGGCTTCCTGGGGTGCAGAGGCTCGGTTGGAAGGATTCCGCTGGTTGGTTTTCCGCTCGTGGGCTCGGTCGATCCTGTTGGGGCAGTGGAAGCTTCATGCGGGCTTGGAATGTGCAGAGGTGGTAGCGTCGCGGTGTCTGTCCCATTTCGCACGTGTTTTGGCTCCTCAGACGACACTTTGTTGGACGAAGTTGTTGACAGACCCTCCTCATGTTCGCGGACGGATGAGACAGCCTCAGCGCCAGGCTCTGCTGCGAGAGGCACTCCATCTTGGTCATTCTTCTGGGGCAAATCACTCGCCGAAGGCTGCTCAGGTTCGGTGGCATAATCCGTCGAAGTGTTAGAGTGGTTCTTGGCCACAGGCGCAGTAGTGGGGCCCGTACTCAGCGGTGCTGGCGAAGGCTCCCGTTCTTCCTGAACGACTGGCTCCCTTGGTAGCGACAACTCTGAGCCACTCGAAAACATGTCCGCGCCAAAGGCACTCAGACGTGCGACGTTGGGCAGCTGAGGGCTGACCGAGACGCGTTTCCCATCCTGCGCGAGATCTTCCCGTGGGTCAGGTATGGCCTCGTCACCGTGAACGCGTGGCGCCTCGGGTTGCTCCGCCTCGGGAATCTGAGACGATGTTGGCGCGGCCGCGACATTGTCCGGCTCGTTCTTCTCGCTGAAGACAGGCGCGTCTGTCGCAGCTGATATTCCCACTTCGGGGCGCTCGTACGCGGGCTTCGTGGGCGCTTGCGGCTGCTGGAGAATCGGCGCCTGCGGTACTCGTCCAGCCCCGGGGATTCTCGATTCAGATGGTAACCTTGTGCCACCGACTGGCGCTGGTCGACGAGCTGGCAAAGGCACCTCAGGTGAATCGGGCTCGTCTTCCGATTCGGGGGCACCCCAATCGTCGCCATCGTAGTTCTGCACTTTCGCCTCGACCCATTTCCGTGTCTTCTTCCTATTGATGTTGACAGCGTAAGAGGAAGGTGTGCTGGGCGACCTGGAGACGATTAGCTGAGATGGGCAAATGGAATTCGGGGGACGCACATGACAGACTGGCCTTGGTTAGGCGCTTGATTAGAGGAACCTTCCATCAGGTCTGCGTCACGGCTCCTCAGGGTGCCATGCGACCATGTCCCCCTTTTCGACAGAACCAGTGCTAGAAGTCGGCTGACCGAGGAACGCGCGCCGTCGGGTTGACACAAAAACAGAACAAAGCAGATTATGCGGAGAACGCGATGATTGATGGAAAGCAACAAACGTACGGAAGCGAAGATAAAAATGTACCTATGGTTACGACTCCGACAATTCTCAGGGAAGGGTCTTCGGGTCTGTCATGGTCGCCTTGATGGAATGGGTGGTGGAACTATTTCCAGCGTCGCGCCGCTGGATGGGCCGCTGCAGGCCTAACAGAGGAAAGGCTACCTATGTATCTTTCCGGGTCTCCAGTGATGCAAGGTACTTGTTGCACCCTACATCCCGCTAGCAAGCGGGCGGGGCTCGAGATGCGAAAGCGTGGCGCAGCGCTCCCGTCAGCCGCTCGATCTCCTATGATGACACTCGCGATCGCAATTGCAGATGAGGTGAGCCCAATTCAACTTGGGATGCGAATCCTGCAGTTCCAGGCCTGCTGTAATTAATTCAGCAGAAGTCATTATTTTCACCATCGCAGGGCATGCCGGTGTCTAGGGCCTAGACGTGAACACAGAAGCATCAGTTCTAACGTAATAATTGGAAATGAGATGTGTTGGTAGACGTGCAATAATGTCCTTACGAAGTCAAGTATTTGCTTTCGAATGCCATTGAAGTCAGCCCGTAATGGGATTTTCTGGGGGTTATAGCAAACAGGATACGACGGCAATTGTAGAACGATCCATGAGTGAATCCTTCACATTACAAGAGCAGACACAGAGAAATATCACATGAAAATTGAATCAAGCATATTTATTGATCTCCCTACACATATGCATATTGATAGTATCCGTAGAGCGCAGTCCAGTTCCACGTTGTAGTCGGATCGTGGAAGCTGCAGGGTAGCCTGCCATCGCACGCCACTGTGGCTGAGGCCGCGCATGAGGCTGCGACATGCGTTCCCAGACACCACGTTTGCGACAGATTGGCCTCGACAAGCCTGCCATCTGCAACCACTCGGTAATATCTGCTCCTCCCTGTTGAACCGTCGAAATCTCCCGCGAAGGAGTCAAGATAACCTCTGGAAGTCGCGCGCCAACAGAAATCGAAACACGGTTCCTCAGCATTCGCACGAAAGCCCTCGCTACCATCCCCTGAGTCGTCAGTGGCGCACCCGCCTCGAGCGTCGACACCTTGTCCCCCCGGAACGTCGATTGTTATTTCGCAGCCTACACAGTATATCAACGCAATACTTGCGCTGGTCGCACCAGGACCATGGCCGTCGCGTCGATACAAGACCGAACCTCCGAGTTCAAGTCAGTACTTGCCCAGGCACAGCGTCGGCAGGCGACCGCGAAGCCCAGCTCGCAGAAGCGGTCCCTGCTCACAGAGCAGCAAAAAGCGGACGCGAGCGGCGATGGTCGCCCGCGAAAGTCAGACTTTGCCAGGAAGGCGGCCGATATTGGGAGGGGCATCTCGGCGACGATGGGCAAGTTGCAAAAGTTGGCACAGCGTACGTGGACGAGCACGCCATGATGGAAAAGGAGGCAGGAGAATGCTAACAACGGTAGTGGCAAAACGTCGCACAATGTTCGACGACCGACCGGTCGAAATCAACGAGCTCACCTTTGTCATCAAGCAAGACCTCTCGTCCCTGAACCAGCAAATTGGCGAGTTACAAGCATTTACCCGCCAGAGCCGACCCAACGCCGATCAGGAAAGCGAGCACAACAAGAACGTGGTGTACCTCTTGCAAGGTAAACTCACCGACGTGTCCGTCAACTTCAAGGACGTCCTAGAGGCGCGCACCAAGAACATCCAAGCTTCGCGCTCGCGGACGGAGAACTTTGTCTCGTCCGTATCGCAGCACACGCAGCCGACCTTGCAACAGAATGCGTCGCCCTTGTACGGTACGCCGAACCGCGCGTCGCCGGCGCCGGCAAACGACACGCTGTCGTTGAACCCCGTGAGCGACCAGCAGATGCTGATCATGGAGGAGGGCCAGACATCAAATTCCTACATCCAGCAGCGAGGCGAGGCGATTGAGGCGATTGAGAAGACAATCAACGAGCTTGGCGGTATTTTCGGTCAGCTGGCGACCATGGTGTCCGAGCAGAGCGAGATGATCCAGCGGATCGACGCAAACACAGAGGACGTCGTGGACAATGTGGACGGCGCGCAGCGCGAGCTGTTGAAGTACTGGTCTCGGGTGTCCAGCAACAGATGGCTGATTGCGAAAATGTTTGGTGTTCTCATGATTTTTTTTCTGTGAGTATCACCCATGGCCTTGCCCACTAGTTCTAGAACTGTTTGCTGACGATCATGACACAGACTTTGGGTTTTGGTTTCTGGTTAGACGAACGATGACTTGGCGCGCGCGTAAATGAACATTGCATGCTCTGACGGCACCTCCTTAGTCTAAATGCCCGTCGCTGCGGCTCGGCCGACATGCAGGCCCATGCATATACCACCTAGATTAATTCATGGCAACATTCACTTGTTGAAGTCATCGTCATCTCGCATTGACCCCAGGCGACGTATGGTCTTTTCTATCGCTTAGCTGGTACGCATTGCCCAACAGGTTTGCACCAGGCTGTAAATTGGCCAGCCGTGTCCGATGCTGATTGTAGAGATCTCCCTCACTTGTCCAGTGTTGGACTGCGAGGTATAGCCAATGCTGTGCAAGGTGGCCCAAGATGGCATCCCTCGCCGAAACGCCACTTGTTAGTCGGGCCAAAGCCACCCCGACAGTCGGTTTAATTCCTCCGTGGAGAGCATCACCCCGCAGGCCCCCCCACCAACGTAACTCGTGCCATCTTTACCCGCTGGTGATGGACTCGGCTGGCGGGGGAATACTTGGGGGCTGAGGAAGTGCTTAATTATGGTATAAGAGCGCGTCTGCCTGGGGTCGCAAAGTGTCTTGCCCCTGGCTGCTCTTTGCTTTATACTCCAGACTCTTGACTCTGCTCCCTTTACACACAATGGCTGACAAGACATTCAAACTCAACACCGGGGCGGACATCCCAGCCTTCGGTCTTGGTAGGTCACTTCCCCCCCAAACACTGACATAGGGCGTGGGCTGACAAAGTAAGGCACATGGCAGGGCGAGCCCGGCAAGGTCAAGACTGCCGTTTCGCACGCGCTCAAGTCGGGCTACAAGCTCATCGACGCCGCGTACTGCTACGGCAACGAGGATGAGGTGGGCGCTGGGTTGGCGGACGCCTTCGCTTCGGGCATCAAGCGCGAAGACGTCTTTGTCATGACCAAGGTCTGGGCCACATACAACACCCGCGTCGGTCTCGGTCTCGAAAAGTCGCTCAAGGCCCTTGGTCTGGACTATGTCGACCTCTACCTCATCCACTGGCCCCTGCTGCTGAACCCAGACGGCAACGATGACCGGTTCCCCAAGAAGGAGGACGGATCGCGCGATGTGATCCGCTCGTTCGACCATCGCGAGGCGTGGAAGGAGATGGAGAAGTTGGTCGAGACGGGTAAAGTCAAGGCCATTGGCGTGTGCAACTACTCCAAGCGCTACCTGGAGGAGCTGCTCCCCGTGGCCAAGATTGTGCCTGCGATCAACCAGCTTGAGAATCACCCCCAGCTGCCGCAGACGGAGATTATCGATCTCTGCCATGAGAAGGGCATTCACGTCGTTGCGTACTCGCCGCTCGGCAGCACGGGATCCCCGCTGGCGAGTGCGGAGCCCGTGGTCAAGCTGGCCGAGAAGAAGGGCGTGTCGCCGTACACCATTCTCTTGAGCCACCACGGTGAGTTTTTCGCAGGCCCTTGTATGGGGAAAGAGTCAAGCTAACGGAGATCTAGTTTCCCGTGGCCACACCGTGCTAGCCAAGTCTGTCAACCCCGACCGCATTGACGCCAACAAGAACCTTGTAACTCTCGACAAAGACGAGCTGAAGCTACTGGATGACTATTCGGCCGACATTGTGGCCAAGAAGGAGTGGAAGCGCTACGTATACCCGCCCTTTGGCGTAGATTTCGGGTTCCCCGACAAGTCATAGACATCGTTCTCTACAAAAGTAATAGACTCTTCTCAGATGCTCTTCTCATTTGCCAGTTATATGCGACTCAAGGTTATGCCGGGGGGGGGGGGGGGGGGGGGGGGGGGGGGGGGGGGGGGGGGGGGGGGGGGGGGGGGGGGGGGGGGGGGGGGGG